TCACACAGGTCACAGCCTCCTTTGCCACCTGTGAATACCCAGGGCTGTGTCCCTGCACCTTCCCCCTGCCCAAAGGTGACAGTGCTCCCGCTCTCCCTGGGCTCTGCTGCCAAAGCCAGGCTTGTCCCTGTGCCTTCCCCAGCTGCCAAAGCCAGGCTTGTCCCTGTGCCTTCTCCTGCTGCCAAAGCCAGGCTTGTCCCTGTGCCTTCCCCAGCTGCCAAAGCCAAGCTTGTCCCTGTGCCTTCCCCAGCTGCCAAAGCCAGGCTTGTCCCTGTGCCTTCTCCTGCTGCCAAAGCCAGGCTTGTCCCTGTGCCTTCTCCTGCTGCCAAAGCCAGGCTTGTCCCTGTGCGTTCCCTGCTGCCAAAGCCAGGCTGTCCCTGCACCTTCCCCCCCTGCCCAAAGGTGACAGCGCTCCCGCTCTCCCTGGGCTCTGCTGCCAAAGCCAGGCTTGTCCCGACACGCGGCCCTTAGCGCACGGGAACCCGACCAGGAAGGCAAGGAGCAGATATTCCAGCTCTGCCTGTCAAGTCTGCTTTTCAAAGGTTGTGCCTGGGTGTGGGAAAGAGTAAAGAGGGTCTGCCAGTCCACATGCAAAACTCTGTGCTCTGCTGCCCCAGCTGCCAGGGCCAGAGCACTTCCCCACCTGTCCCTCCCCACTGCAGTAATACCAGGTGCGCTCAGCGGCACAAGCTCCGCTTCTTTCCCATCTTATCTGCCAAACTACACATGTCCATTAAAATGCACATTGTAAAAAGCTGAATGCCCAGTGCTCTGAAAGAGAGAGAGCATCCAAAACAGCCAAGGCTACTGCCTTGAGGAAAGAGGGTTGAGGAGCAGCTAGTGGAGTTTCTCAATTAGGTCACTCAAAAATAATAGAATGGTTTTGGTTGGAGAAGACCTTAAAGATCACCTAGTTCCAATCCCACTGCCATTGGCAGGGACACATTCCACTACACCAGGCTGCTCAGCGCCCTATCCAGCCTATCCTTGAACCCTTCCAGGATGGATGACAGCTATTAATTTGTGGGGTCTTCTCCATGGATGGAGGTTTTTTAATGCTAGAGCCTATTTTCATGCAGATAGATGGTTTCCTTAGCCCAAAATGAGATTACTGCTGTTCCCAAGAGGAATGTTACAGCTTCCCAAATCTCTTTCACCAGCTGCAATGGGCACATCTCTGATTCACAGTCATGACTCAGATTTTAAGCAGGGAATATTTTGTGGGTGTACATCTATTCTCCTCAACTTGTGGCTGCAGTAAGGCTTAGATACACCATTACAGGCACACTAAAACATGTGCCAGCAGACACCCACATGGGGGAAGGGAGAATTTCACTTGGAATCACTGAGGCAAGGCTACAGATGAGGTTCACATAACTCCTTTTCATGGCTTCAGATGGCAGTCAGGCAGAACATACGGGCAAACCTGTAAGCATCATTTTGAAAGCTCAATTTCCAAGTCATTTTGAATCACCAGATGGTGAGATGACCCCTAAATGTAAATGTTCAAATATTCATTACTGCTATCTAGATTACTAGCTATCACTTAAGTCTATTAAGAACATCAACCAGCACAGAGGATGCAGATTGCATAGAGAATTCTGGCCACTGCCACTTTCCTACTGCACTGAGAAGCAGATGGCTCTTCAGTTGCCAACCCACTGATGGGAACCCACACCCCCAGCCCCAGCTCCCACAGGAATATATTAATGACTAAATTACACATCCCTTGTCTAAATTATTGTTTTCTAGTCCCTTGAATATTGCAATGAAAAACAGACAAAAAGCCATGGGAAAGAGGTAAGACCTCACTCTTTTGGATTTACCTTCAACCAGTTTAAGTTTGTACACATCCAGGAGAGGTGACAGGCCTTGCTTGCCTTATAAAGACTGGGGCACTCTTCTGGTCAAGAGAAGAATGAGAACAGACTCAAAAAGGTCAAGTGTCATGTTTCTTAACTGCTCACAAGCATCACCACTTGTGCCTCTCTTTTAAAGAGACCAAACCCTGAGGAGAGCATGTGATGTGCTGGATTCTGTGCACTACATCAGCTTCCAAAGCAGAAGGATCAGAGGATCATTCATATCCTCCCACTGACAGGCTCCTCTTGATCAGCTTCAGGCAGCACCTCCCTCCATGGATCTCACCACTCTGAGGGAGCCAAATGCCTGGCATTTCTTCAAACAAATCTCATAAAACATCCTGAACTGGCTTCAAATATACAGATGAATACACAGTATCATGAGTTTCAGGTTTTTTTCTTTTATTCTCTCAAACTCAGGTTTTGAAGATCACAAATTCTATTAAGCTGGTGACTGGAAAGAAGAAATGAAAATGGATTCATGAGTAGAGTTTTTTAAAAAACAGACCACGTACATCTTATGAAACTTAACTGCAACTGTTCAATATAATGTGAAATACTACCAGAGAAGTACTGCACTTTTAATCATATATACCAAGTAGGTTATATATTATATAACCAACATTAAAAGACAGGCAACAGCAATCTGCCAAGTTTCAGGACTGCCCTCAAATCACTCCTCCTTTCTGACTGTTGACAGCAACAGTGCTACTGTTCTCAGCTGCTGGAAAAAGCCAGTTTGACACACATCAGAGCCACCAGCTTCCACCAAAAGGTGATAATTACAGAGTTTGCCATTCAGTGATTATGGTAAGAACAAGGTCTCTTTCAGATGAGAACATGCCAAACAATCTCCTTATGTATCCATTGCTCCTGTAAACACCAATATATCGAATGTTTTGTTGGATAAGAGTCAGACTGAAAGAACTGATGCCTTTGCTACACAGACATTGGCAAGTATTTTGTCCTATATTACTTTCTGTTGTCCTAAAATACATAATTTTTTTGTTCATGGTATACAACTGCATCAAAGATTTGGAGAGCAAATTTTACTGAACACCAGCGTGTGATTTTATTTATCTCAGTGGAAGAATGGAAGGAAGGACACACAAAGCTAATATAGCCTTTCTCTGTAGAATATCAGAGTTTTCCAGCTAGTCCAGAAGCTCTAGAAAAGGGTTCACACACACCAAGTTTGCCAGTGGTTCAAGTGTACTTTGTAGGGGACACTGTAATAGAATGCATACACCCAGCACAGCACCCCAGCTGAGGAGGAAGAACGTAGGATGGTGTTAATGCCAGCTGCTCGTTACTCCAGCCAAAACAACCAAACAAGTGAGTTTTCAGTTTTGCTGAAATCACCCCTTGGCTTTCAGTCACAGGGATCCTAAAGAGTGCAGACATGAATAGTGGAAGTAATTCCCTAAATTACTGGGACTGTTTTAGAAGTGACCAACAATAGCTTTAGGTTTGCTCTGTACTATTGAGGCTTTGTCCTTCACTTCCCAGATGCAAATGCAAGGCTGGGCTTGCTGGGGAGACCAAGGGAGCTTCCACGGCTGTGCTGTACTCCTGGGACAGCTGGTGGGAGCAGCACCAACTCAGCTGCCAGATGCCAACCAGCATCTCTTATCTCCCTCTGCTTTTGCTGCCTGTTATGCTCTTCCTTATTGATGCAATTGTGAATGCCACAGAATGGAGAGAAGAACAAATGCACACCCAAGCATATATATGTATATGGATATGTTTGACTATTTTTAACATCATATTTATTCACCCCCCTTGCTGGAAAATCCCAGTTCTACAGAGATGGGGCAACTGAGAGGCGTTTTAAAGATTTTATTCTGTTATCAGTCTCATAGAAGGGTGAGACACAAGAGATGTAAAACTCGATGCCATTCTATTAGAAGACAACTTATTTCCTGGTTACAATACCTTATAAATCTTTTCCAGCCTATTAGCTTTTGCCACACAATGCCGCTCATACTTCTAACACCAATCACCTATTATTTTACCTCCTGTAGTCTTGCTACAATGCATCTTTCACAGTTCTAATACTCCAAAATATCTGGTCCTTTTGCAAAGCTGTCATTTGAAACTTGTTTCTAGTTCAATCTCTCTCTCAACAATGTCATTTCTATTCCACAGCCTTTCCAAGTCAGCACACCTTATCTCAGACTTTACATACAGATGTACAAGACTGTGTGAGTTTTGAGCCAGGTTCTAAGAATCCTTTACAAATCCATTTCTCACACCCCTCCTCTTTAAAATCACACACACGTGTTTACCAAAGTCTTGCACTGTTTTAAACTTATTATACTCAAACACTTTTTTGACCCTTCCGCTTCTTTTCCCTGACAAAATTGAAAAATGCCATTTTCTTATCAGCTCAGAAGCACAGTACAACTTACCATAACCAAGTAAAGACAAATTTAGATTTGTAATAAGAGCCAATAATCAGTGTAATAACAATTGTTTCTGGAGAATATGTTTTCATACATCGCGATACCTTAATTAACTCTAAGTACTTACCATATTTGTAAAGCATGGACAGTCCTAAAATATCTGTCCTAGGGTACAAAGAATTTATATTTATTATTAGAATTTGCTCGATATCAATACTATGTTGCAGTGGTTGTTTTCAAAATTATCTTTTTTAAGCATAAGAAATGTCTTTCTAAGCATAACTGAAAAATATCAGTTCATAAAATTTGTTTCTCCACTGACCAATTTCTGTACTCTGTTTATTTGGAAAGGTGATGTACTCATGGAAGGTAATGATACTCACTACTTTGCAAACAGTTTATGTTATGGTGATTAAATATCTTTCATAGCTTTGGTTGCCTTGTGTGTATATGAACACACTAAAATGCAGGTACACTTTTCTTTTCTAGAACTGGACAATCAGTCTCAAATTAGAACATCATGGAAACACCTTTTCAGTTAGTGCAAGAATGATCAGTAGTACTCAATACCAGAGGTAAAATGCACTTAGATATTAGGCATGTATGGGATGTATGAAACCATTGTGTTCCCACTCAGCTGTATGGTTTCCTGTACACTAGCAGGTCACACATGTCAACAGGCATACAACAAACAAACAAAAAAAGCAGTACAGTTATACCAGTTTCTTCTAGTAAATTAAAACTGTATGGCATTTTTTGCTGTCTTCTCTTTCTTACAATTTGCCCCTCCTGTTAATACCCATTAGCACTTAATATTTTGAACCTACACTTGCCAAAGGTATTGGATGCCAGGCTGAAGCTCCAACTATAAACTGCATCCCTGTGTGCCAGCAATGATTTCAGTGACATAACCCAGCTACAGGGGTCTGGATTTGCACTACTTTTTTCCTGAGGGGGAAGGTGTGAGTTATAAAGTAGAATTCAAAATGTTTCCCAGCTAAAACAACATTTCCTAAGAGCCACTGAAAAGACTGAGTTTGTGTGTAATTATGAAAGACATCATCTGGGGATGCCAACTGCACTGAAATAGATGAATGTTTTTAACTCACTAAACATGTCTCAACTCAGCAGCATGCTTACCTAAAACCCAAAATGATGGTTTAGGTATGCAAAAATTGAGAGATAAGGTAATGTTAAAACCTTGCACGTTTGGGCTAGAGCAGGGAAGTTCTTGTGTTGCCTGTGAAATTATTCTGAAAATAAATTGCTCAAAACTTCTTCAAATTCAGCCTTAAAATTTTGCTACTGGAATCTACATTTAAATAAAGCTTTTATTAACTCTTTTATGAACAAGCTTAAAATGTGCTGACTCAAATACAAGTTACAAGATAAACCACATTTGTTTCCAGAAACTTTGGCATCAGTGTTAGTTTGTTTTCTGGAAAAAGGATGTGCTAATTCAGCATTCATGAAATAAATTTTCCCTTTTTTGTGTGTTATGTAATAGAATATTGCCCCTATTTTTTTGTCTTTAGATGTAATGAATAATTTCTTTTATAAAGCACAGAAATGCTCCACACTGCAATAGATTAGAAGTCACTCCAGTCAAAATCTGTGCTCATTTTGTATCTCCTGTTTACTACAGCTGGTGACAGTCTAAGCACCTCTGCTGTGTCCCACCACACAGAGACAACTCGAAACTAACACTTTAGACAATGATCTACAGCACCATATTACAGTTAGTTAAAAAACCTCACTTCTTGAAGACAAATCCACATAAAAATTTAGATCTTAGCATAGTGGGATAAAACACCATCAATATGGAAGGAATGTTTATTGCACTTTATTGTTTATTGCCCTTTATTCATCCTTAGCAAAATCCACATCAGAAAAACATAGCACCACTTCTTGATGCATTTCCTAGTTAACCACAGAAAGTTTCCTATACCCTCTAGATAGTTTGTGAATGCATTACCATTTAAGAAGTAAGAGACAGCAACAATCTAAGAGCTGGAGAGAAGCCTTTCATACAGTGAAGAACTAGAAAAAGAAAAAAAGAGTAAAAAGCTCCCTCCAAAGGTTTGCTTTTCTTTATAATTACTTCTTGATGTGTGGATTTTTAGTAGGTGATATTACACAATCTAAAAAAATACTTCAAATAGTATATATCTACATAGGTATTTTTATATGCACGCAAATAAATCTGGCAAAAATAGAACATTTAAACTTAATATTTATCCTGTCAATCATAATTGCAGGCATAGCCATGAGGAAACTCTTCTGCAGCAGGCATTCAGTGTGTTCAAACTCTCAGTGCTCTTAAATTCCATTCACTTCCAGTGCTAGAGTTTGTACTTTTAAATTATAGTTTGCTTGTTTAAGAGTGAACAGTTACCATGCCAACCCTGGTGAACAACACAAGACATGAAATAGCCTGTGGATGTGTCTCACCCTAACAGCTGGAAATCTAATTGGGGCAGAGGAAAACAAAACATGATTAAAACAACCATAGGAGTCAGGAGGGAAAACAAGAAACAAGCAGTATGAGTTTGTGGAAACAAACATAGACACCCATCCATGTAGTGTTTCTACCCAATACATTAGAGAAAAAACATTTTTCAGTTACCAGCCTGCTTTATGCTTTCCCAAGCCACTGAATTCTATCTTTGATGTTCATGATAACTATTCCAAAGTGTTTGTGAACTACACCATTTAAATCCCCTCAAACATCAGTTTATTTTCCCTTGTAACATATTCCTACAGTGTGGGATTAACAGACACAGCAGAGGCCTTCAGGCACCGAGAATGTAAATGAGGCTAATCTCAAGAAAACAAGATGTGCACTTAACCATAAATATTTTTTATAATCACATCAAACATGACATACCTGGTATTCAGTTTCATATAAATTAGTTGTTATGTCAGACCTACTTCTGAGGTTATCCAAAACCCAAACACGTAACATTATTTCTACTCTTCAGGCCTGAATAATATTTACAGACATTAATGCTATATCCAGCTCTACAATCATTCCAGACACATTATATAACTTTATTTTTTTTATTTGACAAGCAGCAGTATCATGTTCGTCATTTTTTTTACATTTTAATGTAGATACAATTATTAGGTTATCTGTCATATTACAATATTTAGGTTTTTTGTGTGATTTTTTTTTTTACTTTGTCTTAAGATACATTAAAAAACATCAACTGCAAACGTGAAAGGGGAGGGGGAAAAAAAAAAGCATGGTACCCAACCAATTCTCCACATTTCAGCAATACTTCACTCATTCTTTTAGTAAAGTTTTAAGAAATGTCATAATGACATGAGCTTGAAATATCTATAGGCATTTTCATTGACGCTCATGACATGGCACTGGTGATGTTGTAAACAGCAGAAAAACAGGGGCTGCCAAGTGACCAATTATGGAGGCACAGGCCTGCCTCTTCCCACAGGAACACACCAAACAGTGACAGCAATGATCTCCTTACAATCATACCTGCAGGACAGCACATCATGCTACATAACTGTACTCGTCTGCAGAGGCCTGGCTTCGCTCTATGTACTGTTTGTCTATCAGGACTTCAATACACTTCTTAATCATGCTGATACTTGGGTTAAACCTAGCTCTTGATTGGCTAATTACCTGCAAAAGAAAGACACAGTTTTTGTGTTATTTTTTATTTTTCACAGTTATAAATGTCATCTAAATATTTGCTAAAGGCTTTAAGGCAAATTCAGTATGTTTTTCTTTTAAAGACAGGATTAAATAACTCTGGAATAGTTAATTTATAACAAACAAGAAAGTATCTCTAGGTATAAGTGTCAGGACACTGAAACTGACTGGTCAGCTCACTGGTTACTTTGGCCACATGTTCCCCAGATCTCCTCATTCCTCTCACTTGCTTCATTTGTCACAGTACAAATGAAGACAAATATCCATGTTAAAAATTAATCTAATATTAACACATTTCTTCACTACTATCACAGTAGAGTTCCCCTACCATTAACCTTCTTTGCTACACAATTGGAGAAAATCAGGATGAACTTCTCTTTCCTTAGTCACTGAAGACAGACCTACAATTTAGTGAGTTCCATCTGGCTATGCTGGAATTTTTTAATACATGCAGTAAGAAGTTATTTATTGTAAAAACAAATCTATATTTGCATTGTGGAAGAAATTGCCACTCAGGCAAAACTTTAGATGTCTCTTAAAAGTTTCTCTAGACTGAAAACTTCTCTTGTAGAGAAGGGGAAGAAATTGTCTGAAGGGTTCTTGCACCAACAGAATGTGCAAATCTGTAAGTAGGAAATTTTTTCAAGCAGAAGATCTTACTACTCAAGTATCACAACAGATTTTGCCTGTAGTTTCTTATTCCTTCTGTAAAGAAAATTATTTTTATTCCAGCTGAATTTTCAGTTTTCTTTACAACTTCTCATGGCTGGCTTTGTCCCAGCTCTAGAGTTTGCTGGGTCTCTCTGTGAGCCAACAGAACTCACCAGGTGGAACTCACCCAACAAAGCAAACAAAAGCCTCAATAGAGTGAGTTTTGTTGGGCTAACAGCCAAGGGGCTGGTATGTTCCACAGCAGCACAAGTGAGGAGAAACTGGGTGCTAACAAGCTGATAGATCTACTCAGATTTCACCAAACTCAGCCCTCCACTGAAGCTGATTGGCATCACCACATTTCATGTATTTACTTCAGACAGAGAAAGCAAAAGAGGGAATTTTGTATTGGTGTGGGTTTTCTCATTGTTGTTGGTTTTTTTAATCAAAGACAGTACAAGTAAGAAGGATAGACAGAAATACCTGATGATCAGAATAAAAAATTTCTGGGAATGACTGTTCTGATGTCTCCCCTCCACTACTCTTCCAGTCTTACTCATTTTATAGGAAAAGCTACCTCACCCTGAAGGGGACTGCAACACTGAGCTAGAATTGAAATTACCAGGGTGCATCTAACACAATTAACAACTCCACAGAGACCACATGCTGACATATACAGGTCTACCATGAGCCTGGAGTATTTTCTCGAACACCTCAACCTAAATGAAATATGTGGTGCTGTAGTGTTAGAATCAGAGCTAACTACATTAGGGTTAGGAGTCTCTCAAGTATCTCTCTAACAGTAAAATCCTGCCTTTATAGCTAAGAAAAAAATACTAATGAGGTGAGAAAATATTAACTATTCATAGTAAACAGACTTCTTTCAGCAATACTCCTTCTTACTCAACAAGTCAAACAGCACATTTTAACTGATACATTATATTTAAGAATATAAACAGCATGATAAAAATAACAATGGCACCAGGATTAGTAACAATATCACAACTATACTTTCTACCTAGTTTCTAACTGAGTAACCATGAAAAATCCACCTTTTTTGCAAAGCTGAAGAGAAATCTTCTAATGTTACTATTCTGCAAGAGCCCTGCAAGAGCAAAACACAGCAGGGGCATGTAAGTGGCCCTTCCATTACACAAAAGGAAGAAGCAACCAGAAAGGATTTGTTTCCAAAACACAGCAATTTGTAATCTATTTCACCCTTATAAACTGGTATCAGGCCAAGTATATTTCAAGAAATTTTTCTAATAATTTGACAGTGGGCAGAAAAATGTATTCTCAAAGATGAAAGGGCTTGCCTATAATTTTCTAGTTTTAATTGCAAATCCTTACACAATTTCATCATAATTGCATGGATTGTTTAAATAATGGGAAACCAAAAAACCAAAGATTCTGAAAAATATCAGAACCTATGCTACCTCATCTTTTATATATTCAAAATCAGATTTCTCAAATTAAGCTTGCTTTGTGTAAAAACACTTCCTTAGTATCCAATATCTTTAAGAGGTCTCACACTGCATCATCTGGGCTTACAAACTCCCTGCTGCTGCTAGGTTTTATTTTTAGAAATAGAAATTAAGGAGTGGGTGTGGTAAACTGTTTCCTCCGTCACCACAAATTACTCAATGTCTCTTCATCTTTATGGTCTTCTAAAATGGCTGAATAAATCAGGAATCTCAATTCCCCCTCCCACCAGTCTTCTCTGAGCAAGGCTCAGAGATGCAAGAATGAATTAAACTGAAGAAAGAGCCATGGAAGTTTGAGGAAAGTAAAACTGGCAACTGGTTGGAAGAAGCAAATGTTAGGCTGGAATGAAAAATACAATTAGGCAGGCAACCAGCAGATGGAAAAGTGGGAAAAAAACTAATGAAACAGCACTGCCTTCCAAGCCAGGCTGTGACAGTTCACAGGTCATTAATCTGGAATCTAAAAAATCTAGAGAACTGCACTGCTTTGTGGAAAAGGGAGATTAAAAAGTGCATGTCTCCATACTCAGACAACTTTTAAAATTTAAACCATGAGTTATAATAAAATAATGATTAGAGCACAGAATTGGCTAAGTGCTTCTGTGGAAATTCCATCCTAGAATATCCCTATTCAGGTTTCCAACTGAACCCATAGCTCTTGCAATGATTTTTATAGGGTACAACATCTCTTGGCACAGAACCAGCTAACAGGAAAGAGCAAGAACTTAATGCCTTGGTGCTAAGACACATTTATGAGATTGAGGGATCCCAGCTCGTGCTCCAGTACTGCAGTTCAAAATAGACTCCAGGGAAATTCTCACTAATTTTGCTGGAGAGCTGGTTTCCACATGGCTGAGTTTTGTAGTCTGATGTTCTACCCTACTATCTTGAAGATTTTAATGAAATCAAGTCCAAGGACTTTCCCTCACCTCCTGAATAAGAGCATTATGTCGCAGCACTTTCCGTGCCTTCATGATACGGACTATAGCAGCTTGGAGATACATTTTCCTGTCTTCATCCACAGCACTTCGGGTCTGCTCCATCTCCTGCCACACAGGAACAACAGCAATGCACAAAATACAGTAAGACCAATGAAGACTGCATAAAAGTATCTTGAATCTCTACTTTTTACTTTACTAAAAGTGGTGAACTAATACAAAATGTATGCAGGTGTAATTCTATACCAGTAAAAGTATGTCCATAAATCAAGGATATCTGGTTTCATGAAAGTCAGTAGGAAGGTAGGAGAGAGGCATCTAAAACAATGTTTTGCTAGGGAGAAAAACAATCAGAATTGACTATAATTTATTGATTTTGGCAACACATACTTATATTGTACAAAATCCTGTGTCTTAGGAGATACATTGAGAACATGGATTAACAACACAGGAGTTGATTTTAGTTGCCAAAGGACACAAAACCATAAGAAAACAGTTGATTGGTTCTGCTGTTCTTGCAGTAAGTTCCTTTAAAAACACCAGCAACAAAAAAGTCTCATGACATAGACTAAACATCAATACCATTTGGCATTAACATTTTGTTCATCTTTTTCTTCTTGTTCCCTATTTCACCTTCTCTTGCCTATATTTCAAGTACAAAAAAATTGCATTGCTTAAGCTTTAAACCTACAAAATTTCTTTTGCAAATCTTAAAGAGTCTGATATCTGCTTACACCAAACTAACACACTAAATTCCATTTTAGAAAAATAAGCTTTCTAAGCTATTCAGGCTAGAAACACCAAAGAATACTTGCCTGTGGTGTGTCTTTCTGCATTGATGTGGTAATTTTAAACTTTGTTCGTTTACTGCTGAAGTTCATATTTAATGAAAATGTAGACTCTGTCTCTATATCTTCCTGCAATACAGAATCATTTTTAAAAATCAAGAATGGAACCAGAAAACAGTAACAATTTACTTTGAAAAGTCACAGTTAGGGTCTTACATATACAGAAAAAAAAATCAGATTTGTAGCTGGAAATTCTAAAATGCTGCTAGAACCGGGTCAATTTTTAAAGCTGGTTTAACATCATTTTTTCCCTGCAAAGAAAGTAGGATTTGCATTTATCTATGAGAGAACCTTAAAGAGGAGCTGCTGCTTTCGTAATTTTTACAAAAAGTTGTCTTCCAGAATTTAAGGAAAAGCATTTAAACATTTTGATATATTATAGCAGAAACAGCTGACAAACTGCAACTTCCACAGTGCACATCTACCAGGAGATTTCAAATTTTTTTTTCCTGTCAGAATCTCCATTCTTTACCACATGTATATGTAGTAGTAATAATTATAATAACAATAATAATAACAACAACTATTATTACTGTTATTATTATTTCAGGGGTGTTTTCCTGTGGTTAAAAACACCTTTAGATTCAACACAGCATGACTGGACAGATCTCTGCAGTTTCCAGGCAAGAGTCTGTACAGGTATTACCAATTTTCAGCAGAATAAAGTTACTGGGATTCTGAGACCTCGGAATCTTGCCAAACTGTCTAAAGCATAAGTATTTTAGTTAAACACAGAAAATATTTATCTAAATATGCACTCAAACTAATATTAACTCTAATTTTGTATCTTGCAACAAATAGCCTTTGTTACAATGTACATAAAAATCAGGATACCAGGAATAGTATAGAAAATACAACATGAAATGGGAAAGACCTTGAAAAATAATAAGCTAACAGAAAAGTAGGCTCACATTAACTTCTAGCATTATTCTGCTCACATGGCTGAATATAAAGCAAAATAAATTGTGTACTGAGCATCAAGTCAAAAAGCATAATTCGAATGAACCAATGAAGATTTTGAGGTGAAGCTTCTCATGCTCTTTCCCCCACACCCATTCACAAAATGAACAAACAAGCAAAAGCAAACTACAACATTTACTGCACTCTACTTTTCTGTTTGGCACAGATACAGGTAAAGAGAAGTTTGTGTATTGAATTCCACTGCTTAAACCACTAAAGCTCACTTGTTTATTTAATAAGTAAGCTGATAGACTGTCTACAGATCTGCTATCACATTGTTGGATGGAGTGCAAAGAAAACAGAAATAGTAAAGACACTTGAATACAGTAGTCTGGAAGGCAAAGAACTGGAAAATGCAGTGGTAAACATTAGAAAGTAAAAGGGCTGGAAAGCTGTATTATTCCTTCTTCTATGACATAAGCTTTAAGAAACTGGGTGAACCTTATACAATGGACATAAATAAATGTAAATCCTTTAAATAACAGGCAACGTTCTAAGATTATTAAAGGTCTCACTGTTTCCTGTAATAGCTCCCAGTGTTTTATTTGACCCATGGTTTAACAGACATCTTCCCAGCAACTGTTCCAACCTGAGCTCATTTCTAGACTTTGGAAGCATGTCCTATGCTTCAGCCAAGCACCAGATCTTCCTTGTGATCTCACTTTCCATTTCTAAAATTTTCCTGGTTAAAAACAAAAGCAGCTGTCAGAGCAGCTCTGGACTTCTTCTTGTAAGTGAACTGAACAGCTTATCTCAGTTCCTTCTGTCTGATACTGCCTGCATAGTGGGCTTTCTGGGTGAGCTGGAAGCACATGCTATGTCTGTGTGGGATGCACAGGCTCTTCTGCAGTAATTCTTACTTAACAGAGTAAAGCCTGTGCCCTTTGCTGTACTGGAAAAAAAATTCACAAAGGCTACACAGATGGATGAGAGAGTCAGAAAAAGAAGTATCAAACATTGCCTGAATCACAAACAAAGCTCAGATACTACTGGAATTCCAAGAAACTCATGGAATGGTAAGTCTGGCAAACTGCAGCAAAAATCCTCTCACAGAAGTCCTCCTTGCTCTCCTTGTGGCTCCTGTAATCTGTCCACAAGGAAGAACATGGTTGCTCTTTCTTTCAGTCTCTTAATCCCACTTTTTTTAGGATCACAGTAAAACTCTGGTTTACTACTCAGGCTCCTTCCAGTGATTCAGCACAACTTTGAAAGCAAGGCAACAGAAACAATGAGGAGTCCCTGCATTATTAGCTTTTCATGCTGCTATAGGCATAGAAAGCCTGTATGACAAGCACTCTGCTTTCTCCTGTCTTTTTCCTTATAAGTAGAGATTTGACACAAGGGTCAAAAATAAAGCTTAGAAAAATAAAAGTAAACAATGGATATTTTAAAAAACTCCTCAACAAATATGAATGTTTGAATGAGAATGACAAGACTGAAATCATTAAACTTTTTAATATCATAATGGTATACCTTGTCTGAGTCATGGTTGATCATTTTGACATCAAGCAAAGATTTGATGGTTTTTGTCAGCTCCTTCTCATTCATTTGTGTACTGTCCTGAAGCTCCTTGTAAGTGACAGTCTCACTGTTGTTGAAGGCAAGCAACACTGCCATTTGGTATGTTGTGACCATGGCTACATAAGGTTTGCACAAATAATTCATTTTTACTTCACCTGTAATGATACAAGTAGTATTTTATAAACTGATGAAAGGTGCTGAAAAGTCATCTGAAGCCAAACTACCAGAGCTCCTCATACATTTCCAGACATTCAACTCAAGTCTGTATTTAACACTTGAAATGGAACAATGACAACTGAGGCTGTGAATTTACACATATACAGTGGGGCCCACAACAACTGCCCCACCCTGATTAACTATGCATACTAGACAAATAGTGCAATATCTAATAATAATAAATATATAATAATCATAAAAAAAGAAATTCCAAGTAGCCTCAACACATTGCAATGCATAAACTTTAATTAACAGCTTATACAAAATCTCAGAATAGTGATTAATGAGGAAGGTGATTAAAGGAAAGACTTAAAAACAAAGTAAAATACTTGTCCATCAAAAATGTTTCATATTCTTACATTTTTAAAATTCCCATGAAAAACAAAAAGCACTGAAGAAATCTACTTGAAAGCAGATTTAGATTTTCTGTGTGAAAGTGTGAGTTAAGAGCAACCTTCTGTTACCAGAACTAGATTTCCATTTTATTACATTGTCATGAGCTATGGTTTTCATCTCCATGTGATATGTTGCATTGCTCAGTTGTTAAAGCCTGAGACTGAAAGCACTCAAAATAAAACCTGATTGACTGACACTTACTAAAACAAACACTTGACAATAATAAATACTAAATACTTAAAAATATGTATTTATGTAGATACTCACATACCTAAGCAAAACAGTACCACATGCATTCTTAAAATTATTTAGCATTTATGTAAGGAACATCTATACTAGAGAAACAATTCCAGGGCAATTGTTATTAACTCAGCAGTTCTGCAGTGCTTTTCTGCAGTTAAGAACATAGAACTCTAGTTTTACTTGGGTTTAGTAAATCACAAGTTACAAGACATGGATTTTGGAAATTCTAAGTACTAAATATTAATTTATAACACAAAATATGTCTATTGACTTTATATGCAAAATAATGTTCCAACTCCCCATGTTTTTGTCATTTGAAAAGAACTTTTAGCAAGTAACTGTTAGATCATAAATTTAGCAAAGCACTTATTTTTACCTGTACAAAGATAATGTAACCAAGTAAGCTTCCTTCCACTAAAATGCTGACTGTAAAATAATTCAAACTGCAAAACAAAATGAACATCAGTTAGTCACACATATAACTACTCATGAAAATTTTTCATCATCCTACCACCCTAATGAAGAAATACCGGTTTTATGTCCATCACACTGGATGAAAACATTGCAGATCCATTTGTGACAGCATTTTCCTTTAGAAGATTAGTGATGACTGAATCTTAATTTAAGGTCTACCTCTGGTAATGAGAAGAACTTCAGCTGATTCAAAAAATCTTTCCCTAAAATGAGATCAAACTCCCTAAACCCCACAATGCCAACACTGTGTACACACACACCTATTTCGCTTATTCTGATTTGGTCTGGAAACTGATTAACATTGAAGAAAAACATAAAAACAGGGAATTTTGATCTCTTTAGGAATTAGGTGTTTCTCCACCCACAAGCTTGCACAGTATGAAAAGCAGTATTTGTACACCACTCAGATAAATATACATTCACAGGAAGCTTCATCAGTCTCAGAAAAAGCTGCTGAAGAGGTTGCCCAGCTACACAGGCACTCTCATACTTCAGAGTGCAACTGCAATACTTTTTTTTCTTTCTAAACCCTTGCCAGAATACCAAGAGAACTCTCTCCATGGGTCAAATCATCGAATTGGACAGTAAATAAAGACACTGTCAGATAATTTTCAAGGACTCCCCCCTCAAGGTCATGTTCTGTTTCTCTAGGGAATTCTCATTTAAAGCACTGATCTCTACCTAGGTCACACATGAATAAGTTTGCTCCTTTAAAATGGCAAAATGGTGAAATTAGGCAAAGCAACCCAGACTATGAGCTGCTTCTGACACACAATTCTGTACCAATTTTCCAACTGAGGCACAACTGACAATACTCCTATTTGAACTCACAAAGACAGCAAAATCTCATCACACCTGGTGATCCTGTAGCCTGGGTCAGGAACTATTATATTGCTAAAATCAAGTGCCACTTAAGTGGAAATTAGAGCTGAATAAGTAGTCCTGAATATGTAGTTATTCAGCAGTAATACAAGAAAAAGATCCTTCACCACAAAAAAAAAAAGACATTTACCATTATAACTTACATCAAATAGCAATGTAAGGTATAAAAACAGCTATAAAAATCTCTTATGGCCAATAATACAAAATGTGTATTGCCCAAATTTTACTTCACCATCAAATGCACCTTACCAAAGATCAACACAAATATTCTGTTTTTCAACAAAATGGTACAGGTAACATTTAGAATACAATAACATTATCAAAAGCAACAAAATATCTCTACAAAGCAGAAATAATCACATACAAAGAAAATATTTGGCTAAAGCAAAACCTTTACTGCTTTGAGAAACCATAAAAGGAGCTTTAGAGAAGTTTGCACAAAGCATGACTTTGAACAGTTTCTATGAAACAGGGAACAAGAAACCTGTATTTGCGTCTTAATCTGCTATTAAGACTGTTCAGATTTAATATTAGAAACAGAATCTTCTTTTATCTAAATATTAAGAGTTGGTTTTGAAGCAAAGAACCAACCTAGTTCATTTGATTGCATTTATTAGCATCTCTTTCAGCAATAATAAAGTGTAGAAGAGAGATGTGAAAAAGCTACACAAATCCATACATAAATTCAGTAAGGTATATGGGTGACCCTTCCACATTGCATATGGACTGGAAACATGATAGACATAATTCACAATCAAAAAAAAAGCAGCTCAAGTTTTTCCCTGTTAGAGTGATGATTTTTCATTTGGAGTTATTTTACATTTTCCACATGTTTACAGGAAACCTCCTACTAACCTACCATCTGTACACTTTTTTCCAGTTCCTGAGGAATTGCAAATGTAGAAGAAGGAGCCTGAGTTAGAGGCCATGCACCAGCCTGAAAGTATTGGGAAAAACAGAAGCATTAACATTTTCATACAACATATATATTAAGAAAAAAAATAAAATTCTTAAGTGGATGTATAGTGTGCATTATGTCATAAGACAATCAATTAACTCAGGAAGTTTTACTGATCATTTTTTAGTGCACCTTCTGCACACCCCACTGAGGTATTAATTAAGACTGAAATTTTTATCACTATTGTTTAGGGACCTAGTAGGTTGATTTTACAAAGAAACACTAGGAAGGAAAGTATTACACATGATCACAGGCCATCAGTTCCCATATAAAGTAGTATTCATAATTAGAAAACCTGTATATTTGTTATCAGAACATTAAGGGTAAATACAAATAACTCAGCAACAATAAACATACATTAGTACCTGTAGAACATATATCTGAAAACTAATTCCCAAATCAATGATTGTGTCCTGGTTTTTGATAAAGTTGTTGAATTTGTTGTTGAGATCAGCACTAACACTCATGTCTGTATACATTCGATGGAGCTTGCTGGTAAATTCATAACCACAGGCTTGCTGTGAAGAAATATTGTAACAGGTTTCAAAGTGAAAACAGTACTCATCATATAAATTATGTTCCCTTACTAATACAATATGAAAATCTAGTCAGCAGAAGTGTTGTTATATTTACAGAAAACACTAGTTATAATAAAAACCAAGCACTCTTAAATAAAATTATCTTTATCTTAGTTTCACCTTATATACACTAATCTATTTGAAAAATATTGTTTTGTAAGATCAAAAGATAGACATGTTTATGAAAGCCCTTGGTACTTTTTTAAGGTTAACATGAATGACTTGAATACAGCTAAAAAAATTATCCAAAACCTGATAAAAATCTCAAATGTCTAGGTGACACTCAGCCTTTTATCTTTCATAGACAACCTAAACACTAGCTTTTGCTGTCAGCTATTGGAAACAGATTTACCAATTGCTAAGTTACCTCTGGCACCCTCTGCTGCTCCCTCTTAACACTACATACTCCTATATTTTTTTATTCTGTTAGAAGAATATTACCTTACCTTTAGTTTGTTTATCATCGCTTCTTCAGAATCCATAGACATAGACAAACCATGAATTAATCTTTTTGCCAACATTCTGGCATAGAACTGCATTAAAAAAAAAACAGAGACAAGGATTTTAAGAAGCATAACCACATTCTTCAAGTAGGCTTTAAATGTGACATTTTAACCATTATTGAATAGGAAAAGTTACCTTTTGGAATACATCTTTGTCATCAATGTATTTGAAAACAGTAATGAAACTCGTAAGCTTGTCTTCTACTTCATTCTCTGTCATTCCTTTTGCTGATTTCTTTAACAAGTTGTCACAGTATTTGGCCAGCTCAAATTAAAAAAAGAAAAATCAAACCCAAAACTACTTGTCAAGCTTGAGAACAAATGCATGCCAAGGTATCTGGTATTTCCAAATTTCTACAATAGTTCAAACATGAAATAAGTCACACTCTACTGTCTCACATTCTATACAAGAGCTGAATTCATGGGCAAACATTCATGGACATACATTCTACATCCACAGAAAATACAGTCTATACCAAAAATTAGAGCCATAGCAATTTTGCACACTCAGAAAATGTGTGTGCAGCTTAAGCTGTTACTACTAAAATAAACACCTGAGGTGTGACCCAGTGTGAGAGCTGGGTATGCATGTGAAGGACCCTATAGCAATCCATTTCATGGTTATATATAGAATTATTACTTTGTGTGCATCACTTACCAACTCAGGTGCTTTGCAGATCGACTTGGGCTCCCGATAGTTAACTACTGATGTCAAAGCCTACATAAAGAATGGAGCAAAGAGAAAAATTGTCAATGACTTAAACCTTTTTCTTTTATGAAATTTGAAAAAATAAAAAATATCCTCAGAGCAAAGATCATCTGAGATCCTAAAAAACTGAACTACACAAAAGGGGATAAAAAAAGAAACAATTCATAAAAAGGTTAAATTACCGCTCTATGAGAATTTGGTTGTTAAACATTTTCAAGTTGAGAATTCAGTAAAAGTAGAAAGAGTAGAAGAAGAAACATAATTACAGAAAACCAAAGAAAAAATTAAGTTCTGATTAGAAACTTCACAAGAGTATTATGATTGGTATAGAGCAATGTTATGGTCCAAAAGAATGGATGGAAAAAACCTTAGGAATAAGTGCAGATAAAGTAGATTTGAGCAGCAGCACATCAACAGCATGTGTGTTGAGCTGGAAAACTTATATTAAGTGTTCACAACAGTAAGAAACAAAAGCGCCTTTGGTTGTTGGATTTTTTCACACACTGAAAGGAAAAATATATTGTTGAAAGTGGAAATTTGAAGTAGTAGAGTACAAACAATATGGTGGCTGAAGAAAACCTGAATATGATGAAAAAGGAAAGAGATAATGGCAGTTTAGAAATGAAAAGAAGATTATCAGAATAACAGAGTTTCTAAACTACATGTCACATTTAAATTAGTGCTGTAAACTAACAGTGAATCAAAAATACTGCTAGATCATAGTTCCCAGGAGTTACAGTTCCTCTGTAGAAGGTAAATATTGTTGTTATCATTATAAAGAGAAACTGACAAGGAGCTCCTCTGTACAATACCTCAATATTGTAAAATTTGCTAATAGGTCCCTAGAATTCCTCTGAGAAAAGAATGCACAACTTGGCAAGAAATAGGAAACTCTTTAAAGCTTGGAGCAATCTTTTGCAATGATACTGGAGGCAGCAATAGTGATTTTGAGAGTCACCATCAAAAATTAACAGCAAATCAATATTTTAAGTATTTACTGTAAGAAAGATCAATGGAGTGAAGAACTGATGTATTTAGAAAAAGTACATTGCCTTTGTGCCAGCAAATGAAGTTGTCAGTCTCGTGTTACTCCACCTTCTGGTACATGACATGAATTGCAATGGAGAGAGAAATGTATTTGGTATTGAAATATTTGTTTTAAAATGCTAAATAATTATTGTATCAATGTCACAAACACAGATGGGTAACTACTATTGGTACCATCACTGGTACCTTCTCCACTCTGCCTCTTCAGGTTAACCTTGACTGGTAATTGTCAAAGCTTAGACTCTGACATTAGCTACAAACTGCAACCACTGCACACACCACAAAAGAGCAAAGAACTGTATATGTGCATCCTGTGAGAGGAAATTAAAGAAAGAAAATATATTTATTAGTTATAATTAATAATGATTAATATTAAAGTTTATGGTAATTAGAACTGTTACCTTGAATACCTGCATGACTATGCATTTCAAATAAAAGAGCAGCAAGACTCTTTCCCTATATTTGTTATTTAAATTCAAGTGCAGCTCTCTCCTGGAAAAAGTTACCTATTGTGGCAGTGATTGAAGTAATCTAAGTTTCCAGGTATTCTTTGCAGTCAACTTGAAAAATCTAAGCAAAGACTCTGTGGAAGTAATACTGATAGCATTCAGAGATAAACATAATCTCAGCAAGCAAATTCAAGTTCAAATGCATGCAAGAATTAACAAACCTCCCAAACCTCACCAGCTGCCTATTCATTATCTGCACTTATATTTGCACTGAATGGATCAGCACCATTTTTGTGTTTTGAAATATGATGAAAAGAAAGGTCTTTCTTTCAGAAAACAAGTATTAAAATGGTCTCCTTTAATTTATATTTTCCCTTACACTGGAATGTCTTTTGCTCCATTGCATTTCTAAACAAGAAAGACTGCATATGAACTATCATTGACCATGTGTTGATGCTATCAAGAGTTTTGGTGAGCCTGAATCAGGGTCCTGGATTTTGTTTTCCAATGCTTTGCTTACTTAAGTAAAAATTACCTTGTCAAGGGCACTCATAAAGTGTTGATCACCATTCAAAACAGTGTTGATTAGTTGAACAAATTTACTATGTACTTCCAAAACTGACTCCACAAACTGAGTTGGCATCTAAAGAGAGTAGATAAAACAGAAAGCAAGTTAGTGAGGAAAGTAGTAGTATCTAACACAAACATACCTACATTAGTTGTAGATTTTTTACTAATAACTCTTTTTTGAGAAAGTTAATGCTACAGTGAATTTTGAGAGGATGGATTCTGCTGTACTCTCACACTATGATGTTAGAGCGTGTTTTGGAAATAAAAAGTCTAGGCTACATTTACTGTCCTGCTATCCAACCAAGATTTGAGTGTATACTGCTCTCATGTAATCTATTTTTTTCCCTAAAATCCATCACTAGCCTTTTCAAAAATCATTAATGCTAACATAAATACAGCAATCAAGCAACTGATATAATAAACTGCTGCTTCTCCTACACAGTGACCTCAGAGACAGAAAATCTGAGTGATCCCTTTACATTTTCCTACATAGGGCAGTTATCAATTGAATTTCATGCACCACATTCCAGCATCATATTCTGCATAAAAATGACTGACAGGAGCTGGAGGAGTCCCTACACAGACAAGCTGGCAGGCACAAGTGCAACAGTGTGAAAGGCACTGGCTCTGTACCATAACTCCCCAAGTACATTCTCAGGTCACACACTAAAAATGTTTCAAAGTACATAATTTATACAATAGAACAAGTATTTCACACTGAAATCATCTACATGAGGCTGGGAATTGCCACTACCCTCATGGGTCTGTATTTATTTCTATGAGTAGACACTACTAGTTTGAAAGAGTAAGTTCAACAAACCTAAAAATAATTGGAAAGCAAACCATACTACTAAAGACTGCAGTATGCACACTGAAGTTACAGTGGAGCCACAGAATAGCAAGCATTCCTGTGCAGTCAGTAACAGAGTGAGGGTACAACAGCTTGTGTTTATGCATTATTATAGACAGAGACACTGCATAGCTAAAGTCACCATCCCAAAGTGAGCACAGATCTAGACAGCAAGATGCACACATGCACAAATGTCAAACAAAAGCTTGTAGTTTGTCTCTGAACAGCAATGCTGGAGAAACAAAAATGGAATTGAGTAATTTAAACAGACAAATAGAAAAAAGTTTAACACACTTCAGTAAAATAAAAAAGATAATATTTTCAGAAATTACATGACAATATAAAGCAAAATTACTAGAAAGCTATTATGAAAACCAGCAGATTGAAATCAGGGCAGGATGTCAAGCCTTTACAAAATGGAATCACTGGCTTCTAACATACCAGAACAGCAAATGCCATTGACTTAAGAGAAATTCAGAAAAAAAAATGCATACATGGAACAAAAGGACCTACTTGCCCTGGCAGTATTAAGCAAACAACAATGAGAACTATCTAGGTGCAGTTGTTTCTGGTTAGATCACAACAATTACAACAATCAGCTCTCAGGATAGATAACCTGGCACAGCTAACCATGCTGATGAGAAGTTACAACTTATCCATCACATTCCAAACCAACTTTACGCTGGCAAAATTAAAAAAAAAAACAACAAAGAGGATCAAGAATATTAATCAAACAGTCATTTCAGTAGCCTGAGGAAACTCACATTTTCCTGAGAAAGATTGCTGGTTGCTCTAAGGCCCTCATCATGGATATGGTTTTGTAGTTCCTGAATCATATGAGGTAAACCACTGGACACAGCACGGAGCAGAGTATACATATTTGCCATGTCTGTAACAGAGATACATTTTTATAGAGTACACTTAGAAACATCAAAAATTACCTCTTAATATAGTACCATCATTTCAAACACAACTTTCTAAAGACTGAAACAAGACCAACTGTTTTGAAAGAAAAAAATTAGCATACATTAGATCACTGAGAAAAGAAAAAAGGAAAGAGAAGGGTTATTATCAGTGTTTCCTGAGTCCTGCCATTGTGACTACCTCACCCTTCCAATACAGCTTCTTTAGGAGAGACTCTAAGAAGAGAGGTGGGCTAGTGTGGAGAAAGAGTGTGCCAGTTTATTTTAAATCCTGGCCTTTCTTAATATCCCTTAGCAGCAGCTGACTAAAATCAGTTTAGATATCTTCTTGACTTTTTATTTGCCTCCAGTGGTAGCTTGAAATTTTTCTCAGGTGAAAAAAGCTCTAAACAAGCAACTGCTATTTTTATTTTATTTTTCCTCTCTGCACCCTCAAAAAAGAAACCAAACAAAATAGATGGAAACTCTGATCAAGCTTGAAAAACTCCCTGGAAACTGAACTCACCATTATTAAATACAATTTGAGTTTGACTGTGAAAAATAATTTGTTTCACATAAGAGACACCATCTTTCATGCAAGAATAAGCATTCTTTCAAAGGTAAGAGGCATGCAGTCAAGAAGCACGTTTTTTTAGTCAGGCAGGGAATATTAACTACAAGAGCATCTCCTTCTGTAAAAAAGATTTGGTAGGAGAGGTCACAAAAGATTCAGGACAATAAAAAGTGGCTATGAAAAGATGCCAAAATATTTTATAAGCCTGACCTATTAAGTGATGATGAAGAAATCTGTTAAGGCAGAGCCATTGGTTTACAAAAGAAAACACAAGCATAAAATATTATCATTTCTACAGGACACAGGACTTCAGTGTGTTTTTAAGGTGACTAAGACAAGGAAAGAGAAAGAGCCTTAGCTGGAAGAAGAATCGTTAACAGTAAAAAAAAAAGGTTTTGATTATATACTTGGAGGAATAAATATTAGTTGCATGCTAAACGAAAAATGTCATTCAGGGTTCAATGAAGATTTCTAGATAAGTAACATTAGTTGAAAATGCTTATACGCACAGAAGGCAACTGAAAAAATATAGGAAATTGCAATGCTAAGTGCATAAAACAAAAAACCATTCCAGTCTTTTTGTGACAAGTGAGACTTACCATTTCTCTTCTCTTGTCTGATAATATTGTGACATTCTGCATGTAGAAACTGCAAGTGATCAGCTACCATCCTCTGCTGGCACTCATGAGTCACCTTGCCATATGAGCTGGGATTCAAGTACTTCCGACACCGCATTTCTTCATCTTTTAATCTACCTAAAACCTGCACAGAGGAGTTTAAACTGAGAGCTGAAGAAATGCTGACAACCTATATAGCACCAGAACACACAACAGTGTATGTATGTACAATGAGAAACAAGAGTAAGTAAGAAAAGGTAGAAAAGAATTTGTGCAGGATGAAAAATTTAATTTTTTAATTCTTCTGAATCAGGCTATTACTGAATGGACATAATCTAGTCTGAGTACTAACTAGGCTTGGTCACTACTAGATGTCTACCAGCATTCCATAATTTTCATCTTGAAATTTCTTCTTCCTTTTAACCTTGTGACTAGTCTTCCCCAATTTCTCTTACCCATACTTCTTATTCCTTCCGAGAAAATTTTACCACAATACTTAACAAAAAGAGAACTCCAAGAATCACTTTACTGTTCCAAGTCCATCTGCTCATATGTAAACATCTGCTCAAGAGGTACAGGAGTACATCAGAGCTATTAATAAAAGCTCTTTTTATAACTCAGTGAAGGAAATAGGCTTAATCATAAGATAAGTCATATGAATACTGCCATAAAAGCACTTACACCGTGTGAATATGAGGGGGGTTTAGGGAGAGTAGTGCAGCTACAGACTGCTAGTGATAGGCAAAACTGCTTTTGATTTAGTTCAAGTCTTAGCCTGCACCTGAATTTCAACACAGGTGTGTAACCATTAGCTTAAAAGCAATTCCACAGCCCTCTTCTCAACTCTGCTATCTTGGTAGTGCAGACAGGATAGGACCAAGAACTGACTCCCAGTATTGTATCAATCTTTGTTTTCTCAAAATAGCTATAAGAATTACAAGTAATTTAACCACAACATAACTTCATACGCCACAAAGCAAAATGAAAGTAAATCCACCTCAGAGTATGTGATTTTTAATATTTTGTAACAACTTAAGAGTCTTTTCTAACCCCATATTGCTAAAACTCTAATGTTACACTACTCCAAATTGAAAGAAAATAAGGAAGTGAGACAGTAATACTAATCAACCTGATATGTTTTATTTTTTTTGACTTTTCATTTTTCATACCATTGAGTCATCATTTATTATGAAATATTTTGATACTGACTGTCCATCCACAGCAAGGTTTGTACTCTATGTTCAGATTAACCATGTCACCAAAAAGTACCATTTCAATCAGATGAAAGCATAACATGAAGAACAACTATAAGAACTGCAGAGGACAACATGTATCATGAGTAAAATGATTTTAATTATTGCATGTATATTGAAGAATCTCTTACCTTCTCCATGTACTGCGAGCAATTTGACTCTTGCAATAAGTTCGAAGCTTCTTGTTTATAATACTCCCCTGTTTCATTCAGAAAAGGACACTCAAAAATTTCCTGATAAAACTAGAAGAGAGAATTTTTTTTAAAGGACAAATAATGTATATACTAGATTAACATTCCAAATTAAAAATACATAATCAGAAATGTGCATCTACCTTTAGGGGGAATTTTTTCTTATACTGTTCAACATGAACAAAGGAGTTAATAACCCCATGGATTACTTTCTGGTTTGGGTCTTCTCCACAGCGATCACTGAAATAGACAAAGAAAACATTTATGAGAATGCAGCTATGTGGTGTAACTCATTTATAGCCAAATGAGATAAAATTGGATGAAAACATTTTCCAGTAAACTCCTCTGCTCAAATTAGCAAAATTGAAGAAGATTAATCTTAAAATAAAACATGCACTTCTTCCTCTCATATACATTTAAATTTTTGAGATAGTTACTCATAAACTGTTCAAAAGTATTTAAAGGTCATGAAATTTCCAAGTATTTGCTAAGGATCTAAGTATTCCAAATTATATACTCTATGCAAGTACTTTAAAAGCTACAGTAATTTCCATATTGTATTTGTAGCCTTTATTACATAGAGTACCTTTACACTCTTGCCCCTTCCAAAAAATCCATCCTTTTTGCTAGCACCACAACAAAAAGTATGCTGTTTTCTTTTCTGAGCATCTACTATTCAACATGTAGATTTCAAGTGGAATAAATAACACACTTGGCACACTATGTCATAATATTTAATCATACATCACACAAAAGGAAAACCTTACATCTTCCAGTGAAGTTCTTAGCTTCAAATGAAGGAGCTGAAGTGAAGAAAATGTTGTCTTCAGTTCCATTCAGATGAAAAGAGAAGTAATTAAAACAAGTACTTTGCATGCTAAAAAGACTGGTGCTCAGCCCTTTGCAAACACTGGGAAATAACCAGCATTCAAAACAGCACAAACTTCCTCTTAAGACATGAAAAGTTCTTAAAAAATTCCACTTTTCATATGTACTTTACAACTCAGTAAAAAATATTCTCTAACTTCTAAGGTGTTAAATAGGACTAAAATATGATTTATAAAAGTGTATTTATGATTAAGCATCAAAGACAAACATTACCATATACCCATCTAGGCTGAGGTGAAATGGGAGAGAAGTAATTTTGCTAATATCATTTATTTTGGTTTGTAATCAGGAAAAACTCCAAAGGATGCCCATGAGCTGTGGAGGTTTACCAGGACAGCCACACCAGCAGCCATTGTATTATGCACACCAGACCATCTTCATGTATTCACAAGTGTTAATCATTGATGCTGCTCTCAAACACTACTGCTTTTTCTGATCTGAAAACTTAAACTTAGGAGGGGTGTCAAGAATTAGCTCTCTTAACAGATAATGACCAGTCCCTGTATGATTTTTGGAGCTTTGTTACCCATTACAAATGAACTGAACTGAACTGATGAGCCCATCAGGGATGGACTCATTTTTATTATCCATTACAGATGAACTGAACTGATGGGTTCCATCAGGGATGGTCTGATTTTTTCACACAGGGAACAAGACGATTTCCTCTGGTTGTGGGAGATGAACAGTAGAATAAACCTGGCTTTGGGTACATGTAATGACACCTTTGCCACCATCTCTCTGCAGGATCTGGTTTATGATGGCAGAGGCAGCAGCACAGAATCATAGAAGGGAGAAGTCCCACCTGCCCTGGGCCTGCACCTCCAGCCCAGAGGGGCCCAGGAGCACAGGGAGCTGCAGGAAGCATGCAGCCTGAACACAGGGCTGGGCCATGGAGCACAGGAAGGCACAGAACTAAAGGCTGAGCCTATTATACAAATATACAAAGGAACATTAGGAAAGAGCTGTATGAGTACAGGAGACATCTCCATGGAAGAGCTGGAAGGAAGGAAACAAGCTGTCGAAGCAGAGGTCAGGTGCTCAAAGGCAATAAATGAAAACAAACCCAGCACAGAACAGGCCTTGCCTGCTCTGGCAGCCATTTCAGGTTTTATTTACACCAATGGCACTCTGCTCCCAGGAATGTGTAGTGCAAACGTCAAAAAAATTTGACAGAAGGTTTAAGGATGACTTTCACAAAAGCTGTAGTAGTAAGAACAACAGCCACACTAAAATGGAATTGGTGACCCTGCAAAGGTAGAAGTCTATTAAACATTTATTTTCTTTCTTGGCAGCACTCAGCAAGCAATACAGATGCATAAAGCTACAGAGTAGCTGCAACAGAGGTTGAAGCAGGGATGTCACAGGATATCTTGGGTACAGGAAAGGAATCTGGATAAAAAGATTAGGTGCTAGAAACACAAATTCCACTAATTTAGGTGGTGGCAAGTTATTTTTTTCCAAAAAATAGAGAAAGTTACAAAACACACCCAAGAAAGTTGTGCTGGTTTATATTAACTCCATCTTGTTCCTGTCCTCAGGCTCAAGCTAACGGTGAGTGTTCAACATGTACTGTACAGTGTATTACTACAGCCCCTTCAGGTACAATACCTAGATATCAAATGCATTAAAAGAAGATTCCATCACTCAAAAGTGCTCTGCTGTGTCAGACCAAGGATCTTCCAACGCCTATTACCTACAGAATTCATTGTCAACTAGATGAGACTGTTCCAAACACTTTTTAAAATGTTAATTTCCAATAGTTTTAATTTCAAACAAATGGTACAGATAATGTATCAGCTTAGACAGGAATAGGTTCAGTTAGTTAGAAAGTGTTAGTTATCTTTAGTAGAGAAGTTAGTCTGTCTCTCAGTTAGTCTGTACTAATCACACTGTCATTTGAGATAGCCCCTGAGTAATTTCCAAATTATTTCTGTTTAAGAATTTCATAGATGAATTGTCTCACAATTCAAGATCTTGTCAGCTTCCTGTTGTGTCGAAACAAAAATGTTGAAGTTAATACTCAGCTCACCTTGTAGGAGGAATGCTTGGGCTAGAGGGAGGGGGATGAAAGTGTTACACTCAGAACTCTGTATTAGGAGTGCAGTCAGACAAGACAAGCTTAAGTGATTTCAGAATTCTCTGCTGCTCAAAGGGACTAATCCTGTTCCCTTTTGCTCAGTCACAGCCCTCCATCTCTCTCCCTTTGCTTTGGCACTCATCTAATGCTTTGCTGAATTGACTTGTGCCAACTTGGTGAAACATTATCCAGGATGGTTTTCTGTCACATTAGCAGTTCAGCTGGGTCCCTAAGGAACTAGGTGAGCACCAAATTCAGCACATGAAAGGTAGCAGAGCACAGTCTGCTCCTTTCTGGTGTCAGTAAAATCTTAGATCAGTTGTTCAGCTGAGCCACAGGCCACAACTTGTATTTCTTTATTTTCATGTCAAAAAAAGTTTATTGTCAGTTTTAAAATATAATGTATTGCACAAGCTTATAGCTTCTAACAAGTGGGTGTGCTCAAGGCTGTAGTCAGAGGTCTTCTTAAAAATGCAGTTAAATACACTGATAAAGTAACATTTCAAAGAAGAATTTGTGGCTCTGCTTCCCTATCTTTTCCACTACAGTAAGAAACCTACTTTTACATGCAATAATTTACTACAGTGTTGGTTATCAACTCCACATACTGTTCTATGATACACAAACTTCCTACCATGAAGTAGTTCAACTGACCCATCCACACTAATTTAATTTTTTTAAAGCATTGTAATAAACTGAACCATGCACAAACAACTACCTGAGGAAGGTGTAGAATAGATGAGCTTTTAAGCATTTACATGTATTAGCAATTTTATTAGAAATTTAAAGTTATATGATTCCCATGCATATTCTTACATGTCTGACAGATATAACTTATGATATCCACCTTGTTTAATCCCTGAATTACTGAACTCAATGCTAAAAGACATTGAAATCACTTGCAGCAGCATCTTTAAAACTGCCTCTTAAATCTTGTATTGGCCACAGAAATTACAGCAAAGAAAAGCAACAAGCCTATTGTTACAGGCAAAGGCCATCCTCAGAATCTCCATAGCAAGCACTGCATTTCACGACAGCAGGAACAAAAACAGCTACCAGAAGTAGTTCTCTCATATGTAATTAATTAAATGATGTGCAGATCACAAAGTGGCTAGAAGAAACTTAATATGAATTGCTGCATGTATATTTTGAGAAGCAGAATTAAATTAACTTCTCTGAGATCACACAGACGACTCCTTAATAAAGAATGGGGAAAAAATCCGAATCCAACCATTAGAGACAAGGACCGAAGTTTTATTTCAAAGTTTCCAAGTGGTTTAGTAACAAATTATTTCAACTTGTTACAGTCTCAAGATCTAACACCTCCAAAAGCCAGTGACAGCCTTGATCTAAAGGCCCTGAGGAGGACTGCAATCAGCTTAAAGCTAAATACAGACCATTATTTTAAGGGGCATCAGATGTCTGTTGAAAAAGGTTTCCACACACATTTCCACTCCCACCCACCAGTGAAATAAACGCATTAAGTAAGACAAGTCTCCAGCATCAATATGCTTGATGTAACAAAGGAGAATGTTCTTCACCATGAATTAGGGAATCTCCATTTAGTTAAAATAATTGAAGTAAAAATGGATAAAGCACTATTAGTCCTGGTTACAAAGGAACCATGATTCAACAAGTGAAAACAAAGAAATACTTCCTGGCTTCAGAAATGCCATCCAAAAGAGACATCATATTCCCTCCTTTGCTGTCAAATATTTAATTCAGGAAAGAAAAATACAAATTAGGTTTTCAATGCCTTACAGGTTTTTTTCTGACCAAGGGCATGTTCAAGGAACCTCAATCTGCCAAAATACCTCTCCCCCTCAGTTTACCTACACCAGTCTGATCACCTGAGTAATCACTGAAAAAACCCCAATCATTTGACAACTCCAGAGTGTTGTATCCTAACAGTGGAAGGAGTGCAGAAACTGATGAAACTTGCAACTATGCACAAGATGTGTAGTAGATCCAGAATTTCTGTTTTTTCATAAATTAGCTTCTTTAGAAGTTAAATAAAATTTTTAAATCAAAGTTTTACAAGTCTCAAGATCTTTGGCTTTGTTTAGAAGTATTTAAAAAAATTCAAAAATAAAATAATAACTTTGCTTCAGACTACAAAAATTAATTATCTTCATTTTATTCAAGTGAAACACCAAAAATGTTAAGTGAAGGTACTGATCTGAAAAATAGAAACCCAGAAGCTTTGTCACTTGCCAGAATTGTTCTGGGTTCCATGTAAACACAGTTTCTCTGGCTTTGGCAAATCTTTGCCCAAGGTCTGGTCCTTAACTTGACTGACAACACAAAAGATTGAGGCAGAGAGCATCAGGTGGAGAAAAAGGCAAAAGGCATCCTATGGGACCTGGACATTTATTCTAACTCCTCTCCTACCCATTGATAAGAAGGGTTGCTGAAACAGAAAGATCACTGCTCTGTGGTTACAGGGAATTCACTGCCTTTTTCTACACATGAAAGCCACAAATACACAGCTACAACAAGAAAAGCTGATAGACCATCACCATCAGAAAAGAAGTTACCTTAGAAGAACCAAACATAAAACAGCTCTGTCAAAGTCCACAGATTTTCAAAGTAAAAAAAAAGTGCAATACCCCCACCTCATGTTAAAGCAAGAAACAATCACTCACTTTTTTATTTCTCGGAGGAGCATCCGAATAAGGATGGCCTGCAGTGGCTCAATCATTAATTTTCTCCACATATCAAGAGCTAGCTGTCAGGACACAACACAAGTTTACATCAATAAAAAGTACATTTTTTAAAAAAAACTAAAAACCACCACACCAAACTCAGAGCAGTACCAAAGATGACAAAATTCCCCATTCAGGATTTTAAAAATTCAGTTGTTATGTAAGCTCTTCTTTCCCTAGTCAGGCAGTATGTGAATGTTGGCTTCCTGCATTCTTCCTACACATCTCATAGAACTGATTAATTCCTTGGTTCTACTCCAAGGATTCGCAAAGGCATATAAAGACTCCAAGCAAGTTGGTTACAAGGGCAGATTTTGAGACTACACATAAACAAAACCTCTGCACAGTAATAGGTAAGTAACATACCCTTCTAACCAAAGTGTGTGAATGTGTACAAACACCAGTAGTTCTAACAATGATTGCAAAATAAGCCTCAGCTGACAAAAGGGAATTTCTCTTGGCCAACCTGTCAGAGGTGACAGTCAAAGACACAGAATACCTTCACCAACACACAAAGAACACCTCCAAACTAAGATGCCTACATCTTAAGCAAAGTCACTGGCAAGCTAACATTTACCTTCAAATGGAATTCAAATCAATTCCAGAATTCATCAGTTCTTATGGGTGAAGCCATTGCTCCCAAGAGACACCATTTAAAAAAACACAGTTGCAATAGTTCAAATGAGCTTTTGCACTTGAATCCAAAGTCAGATTTAAAGCCCAAAAGGGATAATGTGATCCCTTATATACAGAGAATAACTGCACATAGGAGACCTCCAAAAACACCTGCCAGGAAGTAACAGACTGGGAAAAAATAAAACTGCACAGTTCAGTAAGGACAGAGGGAATATTGCTTCTAAGAAAGCTTTGAAACAACTAACAGGTCATTAGATTTAAAAATTAAACTATCAGTAAGGTATGTCTTAACTGAAAGCAGGCACATAGCTATCAACTGCTAATCTGATCCACTCAGTGAAATAAATTTCCTTTCTAAAAAGCAAACAAATGAACTTGCTCCAACTATCACAGCTATTCAGCACCCACACTGCAATACAGAAAGTAAACCTGACACAACTGCACCATAAGCAGGCTAAAGGAGAAGTTAAGGTTTGCTTATAAATCCAAACACAGATCATGTTTTGAAACCAAAGTTGTCTTAGGAGAGTAGCTGGAGAACAGGCAAGTTTCTGTAAGACAACAGGAACTCATCCAGTACAGCTGAAAGAAAACAGCTCTGGAGAGATAGAAGGAAGAGGGGAAAAAAAAGGAAAAGAACTGACACATTTTATGAATATGTGGTGAAGAGAAACAACCTCAGGTAGATCAATTCTGCAATGTGGTCTAGCATGGTCCTTCTCACATATGAGCTACCAGTGGGAAGCAAAGTCAATCACCTATTGGAATTTTCTTGTCAAATAAACTATAGACAGATCAATCCAGCAACTTGGATGTATTAGTTCAAGACAGTTTCTCCCACTTGAGGATAGGGACTGATCTTACTTCTCCAACTAGACTGGCAGTACTCAACATGGCAGTTTTCTCCATTTTGCCAGAATCTATTTCTGGGGGCAAAAAAACCAGAAGGCACATCTTAAATAAAGGTATTTAAACTCAGGGCTCTCACAGAGCCATTGAAAATTCAAGAGTTTGAAATCAGTGATAGGAGCTCAACTCAGAAAAGCAGTGTCCTTCACCATGCATTCATAACAGAGAGAGAAGAAAAAAGCAAGCACTTGCAAGCAGTGGCAGACTATTTTCATTAACTTATCTCATCCTGTATATTTCCTAGTACAATTACTGAATGTCTGGAACACTTGGGGGAAGAAGAACTGTTTGAAGCTGTGCCCACACCTCACACACACAGCTCTGCTCTCATGTACAGACCTACCGTTACACCCCTCAGAAGAACTGGGCAAGAATGGACTTGTCTAAGATTACTGAAAAGCTCCCAAAGTTTTGTTACCACACAAGAGTGATGTTGAGACAGAAACTTCAGAACAGAGAGTGCAGTTCTGCTTCTAAAAATACTGGGCATTATTTCTGTAACTTCATGCTGAGACTGAAGAGAACAATACATAAAATAAACATGTTTGCCCTTGGGTAGATAAAGGCCAGATCATTTCAGTCATCTAAAATGTAATACATAAACAGTAATTTCCATTCTGAAGTGATGAACAACAAATAATTTGACTTCTACTAGAGCCCTTGTACAATCCAAAGAATAAAAGATAGAATCCTACAGGAACCATAATGAAAGAGTAAATGCTTTCAAAACAAAGACTTGACAAACTTGCCAAGTGCCTTGTAGGTCAAGAAATGGAGCAATGAATTCACCAAAACAGTGCTGCAATTTAATACATGAATATAGGACTCAAGTCTCCATTACTTTTCAGGACAAAGGAGTGACTGCTATAAACCTAATCCTACACCAGTCATGAACAGATATTAACTTTACTGCCTTGAGATTGTCAAAAAAAGCTTTTATACTTTGTCATATCAAGAAATAGAAGCCTAAAAACTAATATTTCAAGGGCTTCCAAAACCAAAAGTATACTAATTCTTCAACATGTTTTTTAGATAGCAGTATCACTTAAGAATCTGAAGTTTATTTGCAAAGTGTTTCCATTATCACATTTTAAATCCAAGTTTTCCAACCGTTTTCATATTTGTTTCTTTTCCCTGCCAGGTCACTCTTATTTTTCTACACCAAAACTGTAATCTCATTTTACAAAGGGAACAGTGCTTACATCTACAATATTTCTGTGACATAAAAAAGTGAAAATTTTCAAGGACAAAGCTGAACTCATAGCATTCTGAATACTGTTTATAGCCAACCCCACTTTCAGAGACACCTACCTCTCCAATTTCCATCAAAGGTTCATTCATATCCACCCCTCCATAACCATACTGAAGATCAGCTTCAGTCAATTTGTTCTTCTTAATAAACTGTGTGTTGAGGTACCTATAGAAATAAGGATATCCTCATCAAAACAGGCACAAATAAAAGGCTTTTTAAATTAAGTTCAGAATTGTGGAATGTGTTTCCCATCACAAAATATATAACCTCCTTAAACCAATGCCATTGCTATTCGTAGAAAAATGTTACAATACAAATGACATTGAAAGAATTTCCATCATATTAAAACAATAGTGTTGGTAACAGAGATCAAACAGGAACCTGAAATATCACTGTCAGCATTTTCTTGGTGAGCAATATACTTGTGTAAGAATCCAATCTTTCAACATGCGCTGCTTATACATACATACATACATACATACATACATGTGTTCCATATACATACATATATGTGCAAAATAACAACTAAAAGTTAAAAGTATTTCCTTCTACCTGTACTGTTTATTGCTCTGTGTTTCTCTCAAACTGAAATGCAGAAGTACTGCTCATTTTAACAGGGCAAACTTTTGTCTGTTATGATCCCTTACTCAGGTCATGGCAGCTAGCTAACAGCCAGGTTACAAATTTTAAAGAGAAGAATTTTCAGAAATTATTTTAAGTAACAGCTATAAAGAACAAATGCTATAAATGGTATTTCAAAATTCAGTATTTACTACTGTATGCATAGTTTTTATAAAGAACACAGAATGGATTCCATGCAAGACCTGCTAAAACATCCCTCTTGACTCTCAGTATTCCCACAGAACAAATATTGTAACATTTTAAAATGGAACCATTCTTTCCTTTCTCAGATAACTGGGAAAAAAATTAGAATGTATTTCCCAACTACACTTACAATATTTCTTATATTAAAAATGTTTAAATAAGGCAACTGAGAAGGTTTTTTGAATTTCTAATCTAACCAGGAGTTTTGAGATGCTCAGTTTCAGGCATGGAAAAGAACCAGATTACTGAAGCACTTTGAGAGATTCAGGCTTCAGAGGCTGCACCAGACCAGAGATGTCTGAACACTCTTGACATGAAGGCAAAAGCCAAGCAAAGGAGAGGAGGAGGAACACACTGTGAAATCCTGTGAACTTGAAAGAATTTAGGACACCACAGAGTCCAAAGAAGGAACACTTGTCATAGTGCAGTGATGAAAAATTGGAGTACAGCAGCCACCTTCAGACTCTTACTGTAACTTGTGCTACCATGGACACCAACCATGAACTGTAAATGCAGATTTCTCTAGAAGGCTCCAGGCCTCCAGGTCATACAAAACCTGTGAGGACATTAGGAACACCTCAAACACCAGCCTTAAGCAGGATGCTTGGTGGCATTTTCTCATATTCTCCCATGTGAACAAAGCCAACAGCTGCCAATCTGCTTTTTCTCATTAAACTTGCTAAGAAGCAAAGTCCTGCACTCCCCTCACTTACTCTCTCTTGCATCAGTACATACAGAGTAGCATGTAAAACTAAAAATTGCTATATCATGATATGCTGGTATTATATTTATATTTTAAAGACAAAATAGAACAGAGCAAAAGCTGCACCACGTGTGTTTAGTTTTCAGGATTTTATTATGAAAAATTGTAACAGTTGGGGTGGGTTTTGGTTTTTTTTGTTGGTTTGTTTTTTTTTTTTAATGACCTAATTTCAATTTACTGGATAAGGAAACTTTCCCAATCACTTGAAATAAAGTACACAGGCTGGATTTTTTTTTAAAGTACCTGTGAAACCAGTTACAGCACCAAGACACTGGTAAGGCCTAATATCCAGCAATGGTTTTATCTATTATTTATTTATTTATTATTATTTATTTATCTGAAGAAGTTTCTTTCAGTGTTCCTTATTCCATCAGTTTTATCACCTTGGTTTAGTCAAGCACATGTGGGATTTTCATTTTCAAACTGAATCCAGATTTGTTTTCCTAGCAAAATGCACCAAGGAGGATAGGTAAAATAAACCAAACCAAAATCAACACTGAAGAAAAGATTCAATTCATTTGCCAATTACATGATCGATCTCACATTTAAGGAATTTTGCTCAAAAGTGTCTCACATTTGAGCAGTGTTTCAAATATTGCCTACCAGGTTAGAAGCAGAGATGCAAGCCTAATTCAATTTTAAGGGAATCTATTTGAAAATAACTTTCGGATTACCACCTGTAGACAATAATCAGTTTTCATTGCAGGAAGAATTATACAAACTAGAACCTGGGATACAACAGAGTCAACTAAATTATGGTACTTTTTTCAGAGCAGGCATGCAATAAGAAAAGAACTCCAGCTGATTCATAAAAAGTAAAATATTCTAAAGCTTTGACTCAAACCATGCTGGTTCAACTGCAAACTGCAGTACATTGCCATCCTTGTAGAACTCCCAGGATTATGAGCTTATACACTGCAGGATTGATTAGCACCAACACATTTGGCACTGCAACATCAAGCAGAATAAATTAGCAATGAAAGAACTTTAGGAACCATCTTGGATACTTACCTGTTGATGCATTATTCCTTTTTGCTCATGTTCTGCTACCATAACTATATTCTCTCCAAAATTAACCTGAGGCATATTCATCTATTGCTCTCTCAACACTCTTCAACTTAACCTGCAGATCATGTTAAATTTCGTGTTAATATCAAAGGTTTAACAACTCTTTTGCAAAGCTTACCTGTATAAACAGTCCATATAGTCTGCCCCTTTGCTATACTCTTCCCAGTATCTGTGATACATAACCAGTACTTGTTCTTCAGCTTCCAGAACTCTCTGTGAAGGTACACACACCCCACACACCAGAATTAGTATGAAAATAGCACACATACTTAGGAAGTTATCATGGCATTATAATTTTGGAATAGTATTTGCATATTCAGAATTGTGGCAATGACCAAAATAACACATCTTAATATTACCAAGTTTTGGTAAGCCAGCTAGAACACCTGGACTTGCTTTATTTTGCATTTAAAAACAGCAATCTGTCTACTGAATTATTTTCTATTGATCTTTTCAGAAGTACCTGCTTGAATAAGCCTGGTTCATATTCTCACATCAAACTGGTGGGATAACTCACAGAATCATTCTCTCACTGACACAGATCAGGCTACAGGCACTGCACACTGGAAGAATTGACTATAACCATTTAAAACCACTATGTCTTACTGCATAGACAAGTCCTCACACTTACCAAGAATCACAGAATAAAACAAGTTTAACACAGCACAGATACAGGTAAATGAAAAAAAAAAAACATTAAAGTTTTTCAAATCTAGGCCCAAATCTTTTGAAATTTAAGCAAATCATCATCTAAAAAGCTACTGAACTTCTCAAAATATATTCATAATTCAGAGAAGTTCAACAATTTAAACTAACGTGTATGATTGGTGAGGGGGGATAAGATCCTAGGAATTCAACTTTAATTCTCTCTAGAATTTATAATTTTAAAATGTGGCTCAAGAAGCAAAGAAGCCCATGCAAAAAATGCAAAAAAGGGTAAAAAAATTATGAAATAAGAAAGCTGGCAGATAAAACAGAATTGAGAATGCTTTCCTCTGCTGTATGCATTTTGCAAAGGTTTTCCACACTATCTCAGAGACAAGCAGTGGATAGTCAATTTAAAAACCTGATGTATGCTTTCTGCTACTTCTCAAAACTTCCACTCTGCTGGCACCTGCCTGATTATCCTAAGTGAGCTCATTCAGCTCACTAAATAAATGAGGAAGAAATTATTTGGCAGAGTTCTCTGCTAGTTTAGTGAATTGATTTAGTCTATAAGAGTGCCAGAATTATCCTCTCTGTAACCAGTGGAACTGCCCATTAAGACACCCAGTCTATCTTGTCAAATACTCAGTACCTAAGCATGAGGCCATTTAGCAGCACTCTGCAGAATTTGCAATACTTTACCCCCTATAAAGACACTAAAGACACTGATAAGCACCTTTTTAAATCTACTTCTCTTTTTACTGATATAGATGGAGGCACCATTCATCTGTCCTATCTACTAAACATGATGAATCATAATTCTAATGAAATTTGCTGTCTTAGCTGATGAAACAGAAGGTAACTCACAGCTATACAGACATACAAATATTGTTGTCATAATAAATAATTTGCCATTATTTCCTCTCCTCCCAAGTGTTTGTATAATGTCTCACATATTTCAGAAGGTTTTTGTTTATTTTTTAAGAGTATACACAATCAGTTTCCAAGACACTAGAGCAGATACATTTCTGTTGAAACAGAAGGCTAATGACAAACTACTGAACATTTGCAAAATGAAGATATTTCTCTAACTTGTTTGATTATAAGCATTCAATGTAAAAGAAAGAACTTGCTTTTCAAGCCAATGAATATATTGCATAAACAATAACTGTTGGCTTAGAAAGAAAATTATTTCTTTGTGTTTTATATCAATAGGTATCTATAATACCTGCCTACATTTGTGTACATGCTGTGACATGTGTTACATATTTCATATATACAAACAGTGTATCTCTGCAACTCTGTCATCTGTGATTTAGTCTCATAATGACCTACAAAAAGTCAGAAAAAGGATGAAGAACACCTACATGGACACCAGGAACTGTACAGGTTACCTTGTGCAAATGGCGTACATGATTCTCCAAAAAAATTTTAGTCTCAGTATAAAGTCTCTCTCCAAGAGGTTCAGGATAGGCCACACACAAAGCATAAATGTCTCTGGGCTCAAAGTCAAGGTTTGTAATAAAGTGTGAAAACATGACAACAAAGTTTATGATTTAGAGAACCCTTTCTTCTCCACACATGTAGTTTAGGTTTTGAGGTTTTTTTACATCAAGCAAAAAAAATAAAATGAATAATTTTCTGAAATTATTGTAAGTATTGGCTTGTGCAAAATCCAAGTTTACAGCATCAATATTAAATTGTAAATAGTGAATGCTGAGGCAATGCTAGAGCCAAGATCTTGAAACTTCTGATAGCCCCATACTGATGTGGCTTCTACCCTTTATTTGCCATGTATAATATACAATAATCTCAAGGTGAAAAGCAGCTTTCATGCACCATTCTTCTGCATTTGCAGCCAACATGAACTGAAACTCTTCTCATATAATGGAAAGAAGCACTAATTAGATTAAGAACATGATTAGTCAAGGACAGAGCAGAGCAAACACACAGTGAAGCTGACTTCAAGTTTTCCTTCCTGGAGTCCAAAATAACTTACTGTCCCTGCATTTTGCCCTCACCTCCACAGGCAAAACAATTTCAGGGGACACTGAAAATTAAATAATCACAATGGTGGTGTGGATAAAACAAAGTCTGTATTCTTTTTAATCATTATTATAATTTCAGTAATCCTGTTTAGATCACAGCCACAAAAAACAGTTGTGCTTGATAATTTAAACAGACAGCAGCAACCTGCTAAGCCACCCTTAAGATGGTTTTGTCCCTAAACTACCTTGCAGAGCTACATTTTTGGTTTTTATCAAGTTTTAAGAGTAATTTGAGGAAGAGAAATTATGACTGAGAACTTTGCTTTCAGAAAAGTCAAGCAAGGATTAGGTCAAGCTTCACATAAACAACTGTGGGAAATAAACTAATTCTGCAAAAATTACTTTAAAACATGGCTTAAGCACTAAGCCTAGGCACTTTATAAAGCCAGCCATGGTAGAAATCAATAATTTAGTATATCACTTCAATCAAGAGAAGACACAAGATCTTTCCTCTAGCTTACCCTAAAAAGCACATGCCTGTGTGAAAGGAGGTAGAAGACAGACAGTTGAAGAGTCACCTGCTAATCTACAGAACAGTGTCAAGTTCTCATCACACAGCCTGTCCAAATGCACATTTCATTCTTTATATAGAATTACTACTCAAAACAAAGAAGATTCTGATGTAGGAGAACTAATTAGGGAAAAAACCCTTGATCTGGCAACTGGAATCTGCAACCCTAACCAGAATCTAAATTAGAGTACATTATTTCACTCATATAGATCATCTTTGCTAGAATTCTCCTCAGAAAAGCAAAACGTGTTAAATGAAAACACTGTGAAACACAATGGGCAACATCCCCTGCTTTGTAACAGTAGCTACCATTGCACTACACCAGCGTGCAAAGTAATGACCAATAAAATATCAAAACAAATTTAAACAGTGAAGAATGAAATATTCTATTAAAGAGATTGTAAAGAATAATTGGTTTTCACACCTTCCCCTCCTCAACAAATTTTCTCAGGATAAGGATGGTGAGTAGTCAAATGCATCCTAAATAGAATTCAAGCCACAAGTCTCTTCATTATGCAAAGGTATTTTTGAGAAATTAAACTCAGAATTAGAAATCTTAATAATTTGCTCACAAGCAAAGGGGATATGACTTGTTTCTCTTTTGATCCACAACTACACTACCTGAATCACCACAACCTACAGATCTCTACAACAAGAACAGCTTACAAATTTAGAGGAAAGAGGCAGTCTTCACCACAGCAGCACAAGAATATAGCAATTACAGTTTATTTGATGAAAGCACCAAACAAATATCTCTGATTTTATCCTGTGAACAAGTTTCTTAGTTTTAATAATCCTAATTAAGAATGAAAATGCTACCTCTACTCCTTCATGAAAATGCACATCTTCCAAACATGCCTTTCCTTATCCTAGAGAACAAATTTCCTTACAAATGAAGAAAGCTGAATTTAGTACTCTTTCTTGACATTTGCCACTGTGCTTAATATCAGCAGATGCACAAACTAAGAGCTTCATCACAGAAGCACTAGAGCAGGCACCTACCCTCCTATGTAAATCAAATACTACTTGCTGGATATCAAGTTTCTCTAGAATTATACAAAACAAAGCTATCATGAGACTGGAATATATCTAGCTGAAGCAAAACTGTTCTTTCTTGCTCAATTTGTACTTGTTTCTTTATGCATTTTATCTCTGAGTCCAGAATCCAAATTTCAGTGTCATATTCAAAGTGTTGTGACTCTCTTAACAACAACAACAAAAAAATCTCTTAAAAAAATCTCACTGATCATCACTGGTATTTCACTCCATAAACTTAAAGCACATTTTTCCTGTGCTGCTGTCCAATAGAACAACAGGAAGAAGCCTTTACTGTTCAATAATTTATCTCTAATGGTGGAAGCCATCTGTGCTTCCAGTTCAGCATGCAGTTTTGCAGGGTGAGAAAGGCCAGAGGAAGCTGCAGCCAAAGTGCTGCCTAGGGGCCTTCACTCTTATTGAGAACAAGAACATCAAAACCCTTCTGTGACCCTTGAGTGCTTTGGTAGTTGCTATTTGAGAGGTATTACCCAGCAATGGGAAGCTGAAGCACTTCCAAACTAAGAAGGAACAACAACAAAATTACTATCAACAAGAAAATACTATAGCCAGGGCTATAAAAACTCACAAATATTGTCCTTGGAGTTAAAAAAAAAAGCACCTAGTTAAGACTTCTCTAGGCAACCACTGTAGAGCTTTGGGGAAATTTCTATTCATCAATTTTCTGTAACAGAACCAAAATTTGTAGAGAATTTCAGGACTGAGAAAGAACCACAACCATACGAACTCTATTTACTCTTCCTTCTCAACCAGTTGTTTTTAAAGATAAATGTTTAAGTTTCTTGTTCATCATAGGGTCCTTAAAAAAACAATTCATCAGAGGAGGGAGAACAAATTTGGAGAAAAAATGGTGAAAAAAAGCAGATGGCCATGCTGCGTACTTTTAAAATAATTCTGTTTGAAGTACAGCTGTCTCGGGGTACTGGTGATCTTATGTTAACTTATTGGGTAGAAATCCCAAGACAACAACAGGAAGAGTTTGATGTTCTACCTGTTCAAAAAAGTTCTAGTTAAAAGGCAGTTACCAAAGCACAGAGAAACTACCTACCCCTCCAAGCAAGCCTCAACTTAAAAAGCACTCCGGTGCCTGCTGAGCAGTCTTGAAAGTGATACAATGTATTCCCAACACCACCTCAAACAGAGACATAACTGTCACTCATTTACCACACAATGAAACAAGTTCATACACATTTCTTTCTGCAGAGAATATTAAAAGGAAATCTGAAGGTCAAAGGTGGATCAGGATGACTCACATTTTAAATAAAGTGACACATGGTCTTTCAGGTGATCTTTTCCAGAAGATTTTAACTCTTACACCATTGTGGTTCCCAGCTCATTGCCATTCTAGCATTTCAAGTATGAGGTAAAATGTTTATTTAAAGATAAGCCATGTTTAACAACAAAATTACCATAAGTTACAAAGGAAACACTATGCTCAAAACAAACAAGTTCTGGGGAACTAGTGGGGCAAAAATTAGTTCTAGAAGTGGAATATGTGCAGTACAAGCCTGTCATCCCTAAAATACTGTCAGCTTCCACACTCCACTGGATCTCAGCTGCCCCAAACAGCACAAGGGAAAGCTAACAATTCTTAGAATACACTGATGCAGATTGAAACAGTGATTGCTTGCTGTATCTTATCCTTTGCTTCCACATCACTGTGTTGACTATACAGTACAAAGATCAACTGATACTATAATCAATGAAATAACCTGTATGGGTTTTATTGAAATAATTAATGGGTTTTATTGAAATAATTTGCCATCTTTCTATTGTGCTGATTCAAGCAATAAGAAAGAGTTAATACAACATTTCCTTCAGAATTGCTGTAGATGTTTAGAAACACAACTACAATTAAAATGAATTTAAGAGAGAATTAAAAGTTAACAAGAAACAAGATGACGTATTTTTAAATGCCATTTTTTAAAATATTCTTAAAATCTTTATGTGTAAAGCCTGGAAAAAGCTTTTATTCCAGCTGTATAGAACTACCAGTTCCACCAAGTTGTTGAGCACTCATTGAGCAGCTTGTGTTAAAACACAAAATTTGGTTATAGAAAGCAGAAATAGCGAACAACCAACACTCAAGCTGGAAGTTGCACAAACTCCTTGGGCCATTCAGCCACAGACAAAAAGCCAAAAGGCTCCTGCCTGTGCCAAACCAGGCACTAATAGTGCCACTTTCCAAGGAAAGTAATTAAGAGATGATACTAAGTAAGGTCTTAAGAGTTACATGCCAAATGATTATTCCAAGACTGCTTCCTAAGTCTGCTATTCATAAGCAATCCTTTTCTGATGTTCAATCAACTGGACTAAATCCCAAAAGAGGATCAACAGCAAACTCGTGTGCAAGGTCTCCACATAAGAAGTTGTAAGCAAAACAGTGTGACAAGGAATCAACACAACATCTCCTGCAACAATTCTTATTTTATATTCAAATCTATTTTAGATACCCTTGTTTAAATGTTTAAAGTTTTAAGCTGCAGAATTTAACCCCTTGATAAAGACTGAATTTTGTAATCCTAAAAAACTGCTTAGCAAGAATGACTGCAAAACAACTTCTCAGCATGTAAGTACCCACCTAATTAGTTCAAATTTTTTTAAAATTCTGGAGTCACTTGAACTTTAATTCAGTACAAGGTGGCAGGTCATGCTCCCAGAAATTAATTACAAAGTTTTTAAATGAAAGAGTTCTTTAAGATTATTACACCACAAAACATCCCAAGAACTAGGAGCTGTGTACATATACACATGCACATGTTCAAAACACAGGGATATGAGAAAGCAATTCTGAGAAATAGTTAACATGTTCAGGATGAGATGAGACTTTGGAGTCAAGCCCCTGCCCACAGAATAAGCTTATCTTGTAAAAACTTATGTCTAAGGATCTTCTCAGGTGCTTCTTTTTTCACCCACAAGAATTAACAAATCAATAAATAAATCTAAACTATTCTTCTCCCTTGCAATTAAACCAAACTGTGACCAATCCCTGCAGAAGAGGAGTAAAGCCTCCTAAAATTCTCTAATTATTCACCACGATGTAATGGCTAATGAATATATAGACACAAGGCACAGTATAACTTGTTAGAAACATTATACTTCTTTCAAAAGAAGTTCACTGAAACTTAAATCTTGCAAAATATTACGTGTAAAACACACACCTTTCCACTACAACAACGTATGTACAGCTGTGACTTGAACAGCAACACCATATGAATGCAGAAAGAGTAGCTATTCTTAAATATAGCTTAACTGTCATGAGTAATAAGGCAGTAACAGTGGAGGGAAAGGAAGAAGGCTTTTTAATAAATCCTTGCTGTGGAAGTGTCCAGTATGGTAGTTATCAGTACAGTTAGAAATGCAAAGAGAAATCTTTACACAGAACATCCTCATCATCCCCCACATCCCAAATTTAAAGATGTGCTCTCTGTCTTGGGTATTTCCCTGGCCACACGCAAACACTTAAACATACAAGAAAACCTCATTGTCAGAATAAGGGACACTCAATACCTGTAAGAACAGCTTTAGCATAAACTAAGTATTAGAGCTTCCAAAAGTGACTAAAACTGAGACAAGTTTACTTTTTATCAGCATGGTGATTTTCGCATAGATTACTTCCCAAATATACAGAATTTCCCATCCCTTTCAACTTATTCACAGTCCTAATAACAGGTGCAGCCTAACAACAAGCTGCTCAAGATCACTGTTACATAACACAGGTTTACTCTGGGCTAAACACATCACACAAACACATTAAGTCAGATTTTTCACTTCAAGGATACGAGAAGCGATCGTTCCACGTTGCTCTTTCAACATAATCCAACATCACCACAGCTTTAATCGTTGTTAGAAGTTTGTTCCATGTTTCATCAAAGTCAACTACTCGTGGTTTCAAGGACATTGTGGGGCTTTAGTGTTAATCTGTAGAAGAATTAAACATGTCAGACAACATTGCACAATCATTAAAAAAAGATACACTTCCTTTGAATATTTCAATTTAAACTTTGTACACAGTTGCACCACTATGATACAATGACACAAAGAACACCCACCCCCCTCCAAAATGAAGCTACAATCCCTCATTTTTAATGCCTTGGAATGGAACATTAATGTTCCATAGGCATGTCTAGCCTATAACATAACACCAACTAATCTAAGAGCATCATGCTTAGTGAAGTTCATTATCTCACCAAACTATTCATTTAAGTATCACATGAAGAAAACAACTTTCCTGTAAATTTTGATTTGTTGACTTTTATCCCAAGACTGTTTCAACTGTATCTAAGAAAATTTGGGTAAGAACAAACTAAACTGTTACCAGAGTATCTGAAATTCCCACTGTCAGTTTGTAGCCTATGTTCACCTCAGGCTTTCATGAGACATTTTTGGTGTTACATTTGAAAAGCCACAAAACCCGAAAGCTTTGATTGGGATGTGAAAAAGAAAACACAGGGCAATATGCAGAGCTTGTGCACAGCTTACTGCACTGTGCAGTAGGACAGTGACATCTTTCAAGTAAGACATGCCTTGAAGACACAGAAGCTTTGCTAGTAATATCCTATCAAAACCAGCAAATTTATTGCAAAAAAAAAAAAAAAAAACAAAAACCAAAAAACCACCCAATCAACATTAACTTATCTAAATAAAACTATGGGGAAAAGTAAGGTGATTTTAAAAAGACAACTGTGAAGGCCTTATTTCCACTAATCCAGAGAGGACCTGATGTGTGACATTCCATGCACAAAGCAAGCCTAGCTCCTGCTCAGAAACACGACATTGTAAGACTACAATAAAAAGTGGAAAGAATACTTCTGTTTCTATTTCAAACAGATGGATAACTGACTCTTGTCTTTCCCAAATTTCAAGGTCAGAAGGGAAAGTAGAAAGCTAGTGACAGACTTTGAGCACAGGGGCAGACCTCACTAAGGGAAAGAATCAAATGTCATGCTAAAAAACTATTTAGCGACCAGCTTACTACCTTAACCACTACCATCTCTCACAGGATACACCACTTCTCAGTTTAAGAAAAAAGCAGTAAAATCAGATGCAACTTTTAGCATGCAGGCATACAACCCACCCCTCTAACTAACTAAGCTCCTCAACTGCTGTAAATGTCGTGATATTTGTAACATGGTTATCAATTCAATCCAGACATGTCGGCAGGAGCTTACACAGAAAAATCAGTGAGAACTGACAAAGCAAAGACCCACCAAAGAAAGTAAGCTGAAAAACACACTGGTTCACAGAAATGTGACCTTAGCAGAGGCAGACAACAGTTCACTTCCAGGATGGGAGAGGGGGAATTGGTAATCTTCAAAAAGCCCTAATACCCCTCTTATGGGAAACATGAGAGCATTTCCAGCTGGCACCAAGAAAAATAATCATGGTCCACAAAAACCATTAACAATCATAATAAGTGCTTGTGGTAACAAAGCTGTACTTGTGCTACATTAGAAGTTGCTGTCTTGGAAACACACGAGGTACACCCAAGGTAAAAGAGCCCTTTCTTCAAAGACAAGCAAAACCGAGGGGAAGAAGGAAGGGAGAAGAAAAAGTCCTCCCCACAGTATATCCCAATGTCATTAATCAGTATCACCGTGTTCAGGATGATTAAAACCTAATATAGTGTAAAGCATCCACATGATCATCCAAGTTGTCTGGAGTTAAATAGTTTAAGATAACTGTTACTAGGCATACTCCTACAACTTTCATGGAAATATAAATTTAAATGTGTTTTACAGACATTTTAACAAGTATGGTGCAACTTTTACTGTAAGACACTGGGTTTTTGGAGTATGCTGTGCTCCATTATCAGCAATGCACAAGCTCACCAACTTCGATTAAATGTCTTGTATTGATCATGGTAAGAACTATAGGAGGGCAGAATATCTACCCTAAGGTTTAGACTATTAGAGCATGGGAAGCCATACCTGTTTGATAAGCCCTAAGGTAAAGAGATAATATTGAAACATATTTACTCGGCATGATAATGAAAGGATGCTGCTTCCATCGCCTCATTCTTTAAAACACACCACTGTCATCCTGCACATATTTGTTCACACAAATAAACATAGTATTCTGTCCAGTATCAAAGAACGCCCCAAATTTCCAAACTATTTAACCCCCTCGATCGGCAGCATCACAAGCCCGTGGCGGGTGCGCAGCCACAGGCAGGAGCACTGGCGTCAAACAGGTGACCGGTGCCGCCCGCCCCCGCCCGGTGCCCGCTCCCACCTTCTCCCTCCACCAAAACAAAAGCGAAACTGGCGGAGGGCGCAGCCAGCGGATAACGAGCGGCCCCGCCGGAGAGGCCGCACCGCGCCCTGGCCGCGGGGCAAGGGCAGGACCCGGGGCAGGACGCGGCGGGCGGGCGGGCGCTGCCGCTCAGGCACGGCCGGGGATGGGGGCCGGGGCGGGGGCCAGCGGCGGCCCCGGGGCCGGACGGGGGCAGGGCCCGATCGCCCCCGCGCACACCCGGCGGGGTCGAGACCGCCACCTCCCCGCGAGCGCCGCGCTCCCTCTCCTCAGCGCTGCGGACAGGCCGGGCCGGGCCGGGCCGGGCGAGGGCGTTACCTGGCGGCCCGGGGCCCGAGTCAGCGACCCCCGCCCGGCCTCCCTCGCTCCTGCCCTCGGCCGCGGTCGCTGCCCCGTTCCGTCCTCACAGCGCTGCCATTACCCAAAGCCGCTCGCGCCCCGCCCCTCCACCGGCGCCGCCACTGCCGGGGTCGGGGCGCGGCCCCGCGGACCCGCTCGGTGCTGTCGCCGCCGCGCCGCCGCCTCACCCGCGGAGCCGCCACCCCCGCGTTCTCCCCGCCGGGCTCTCCCCGCCGGCCGCAGGATGAGCTGGGGCCGACGGGTCCAGGCGCTCCGTCACTTTCCGATCGCACCCTCCCCCGCCGGAGCAGCGGGGTTTGGTACGGCCCGCACTGTACGGCGAGCGCGGGCGGCCGCACTTCCCAGCGGCGGGGCGGTCGCAGCGCACGCGTCACTCCGCCTCCATGGCGGGACCGTTCTCGTCCCGCGCCTTCCCGACATGGAGTCGCGGGGCGCGGGGGCTGGAACGGGCCTCTCCCGCGGGCGCGGCGTTCCCGGGCTTGTGTCAGCAGCTCGCCGTTACCTCAGAAGGTGGAAGTGTCCCCTTCCCACCGCCGGCCCCAGCAGGGAATTTCCCCAGCTCCCAGCGCCCTGCTCCGGTGCGGGACGCCCCGGGCAGCGCCCCGGCCCCGGCTGCCTCGGCAGAGCGGCCGCCGTCCCCGCGCGGGCCCCGGCGGAAAGAAAGGGGCAACACAAAGTTGTTGGGTGGGAGTAACAAAGTAGAGTCGCTGTGGAGACCAAGTAGCCGGACGGGCTCACGTGCCCCGGGCGCACGTGCGCGCTGTGGGAGCCGCGGGCGTCGCGATCGCCCGGCGCTGTGGGAGCCGGGCCCAGGAGATCGCAACTGGGCACAGCAGCTCTGCTCTAAAAAACAAACAATAAAAAAGGGATTCGTTTAAAGGACATCGTGCACTCTACGTAGGAGACAACAGTCTTCTGGAAAACAGATATTTATTTCTGAAAATTCTCTATTGTTCAAAACTCACGTCAAAATAATCGCTTTCCCTGTTTTCAAATCAAGCCCTTGCCCATTTCATTTCCAGTACTTGCAGCTTTATCATTAAGCCTTAATGCTTTCCTTTGTGTTCTCTTAAATTTATTATTATCTCATTCTAGACATTTTAAACAGCACTTCAGCTTCTTCTGTTTTCACCCTAAACCCCTCTATGTTTCTATTCTGCTAGTTTAACAGAAACTAGCAGAGTTTAAAGCTCTTCTACTTGCTGAGGGGAGGAGGCAGGTTGTAACTTTAAGCTTTTGGGTGCTTGTTATTTTCTGCAAGTGTTGAATTGTATATGCGGCACTTTCTCCTTTTTTTAAGAACTGGAGGCTCTTTTTTAGTGGTAGCGTTAGCCACAAGCTTGTGAGTTAAACTCTTAGAAGTTCAAATATATGGTGGCACAATTTAATAATGCTATTTAACCCTGCTGTGTGAATGTATTAATTGTACAAGATCAGATATCACAAGTTAGACGGCCGTTAATGAAAAACATCCTTATCAATTCACTACCCAAACATTACCCAGTACATATTTTGTAATTTTCTGTTATATGAGAAAGTTTAGTCCTGAGTTAACGGTTATAAACTGGAAACAGATACAGGAAAGGAGGTATTTTTCAAAACTAGTAATTTGGGTTGTTCAGCATGGAAGAATCATTAGCAATTTCCTGAAATTATGAATATTCACAATAAGCACAGACTTTAATTAGGTACCAAATCTGCAACTATTCTGCACATTCTGTTCTACAAGGCTGCAGTTGAGGAAGCACAATTAGGGAGTCACAATTCAGAGGAAGAACATGAACATTTGTTACTGCTTCTATGTAAGGTATTTAAAAATTGTTCTTGGATTGAAACGTATTTAGGAAATAACAATTTAAATGTATTTAGGAAATAACAGAGAATTATTTAGGAATTCCAGAGAATGACCACCTGAAAGCACAGAACGGGGTATTGCAGGAGTCAGATGAGCAAGCTGAGAGCATTACTGTGTGTGTTCATAAGGTCATCTCGCCACTCCCACAGTGCTGCCTGTGCTTCCAAAAGAACAAAGGTTCTCATACAGTCTATTAAGAAATAATGATAATGTATCTGCCAAGAGCAAGACTAAAACTTGTGTGTATGCACGGATGCTTTATGTGAGTGGATACATGATTTATGACTCAGTGAGTTCAGTTCAGTGCTAGCTCTGTGGTGGGGCTGTTCCTGCCTACTGAAGCCCAGATGTTGGTAATCTGAATTAACCTGCTGTGCAGATGTGCCCAAAACAGCCAGCAATGGAAATTGCCATTTGGCAAAGCATGACCAATTAACATGGCACCCTCAGCTACCTCAGTCATGTCTTGATGCATTTCTAGATGACAGCAGATGTGCAGACTGCTTTAAATCCTGTTTGACCAAGGCTTAGTGTTGTCTTTCTGCAGTTGTAGATAGAGAAAACACAGATAGGGGACAGATGGAAATTCTGGAAGTTTTGGCAGGATAGTCCTATGGAGAAGTCAACTTCTTCCCAGTAAATTCTTACCAGTTCTTTATATATTGTTGATAACAGTAGTGAGTGACATAAGTTATTTTCTACTACATGCATATGTCATCTTACATCTTTGCCACCAAATATACAAATTTATGTTTCTTTGATTACATCTGGTATCAAGTCTGCTCACTGTCCTAACCAGTGTTGCAGTATTTCCTGAGTTCCCCTGCTGTTTATATGCGTTTGTTTTCTCTTATCTGATACTTCTGTGTCTCTGCCTGTTTGCATTAACTTGTTTTCTTTTCTCTTATGTAATTAATTCCTTTGGAAGGAGCTGTCTATTTTGTTTATGTTGATGCTACATCTAACACTATATTATTCTGGTACAGAACTAGGAATCCCACAGCCCTATGGTAATACAAACAGTGTATTAAATGAGCCACTATAGCACCTACTGCTTTATTTAACAGCTGGTTTAGACTGCAGTCTGAACTGATACTGAGTATCCACATTCCCCACCACCACCAAGTCATTGCAAATGCCTTTCATGTTACTACCTGCTCTTCTTGTCTTTGATTTAAAATCCTGTTTTTAGAGTAACACATTCATTAGCCTATTTCAAGTAGAAAATGAGAATATTGACTGGATTATTTATGTTATATTCATGTAATATTCAATTTTTACTAGATGAGTTAGTCTGCATTATTGATGCAGATAATAATACAATTTTTTAAAATAATATTTTGCTTCTGGAAACAAGATAAATGAAAGCAGGAATGGACCTTTATTTCATTATAGCTACTTTTAATCTAGACTTTCATTGTGGGTATTTCTCTTTCATGTGGTAACATGCAAAATATATGTATAAACGGAACAAACCTTTTGTGATTATAAAAATACGCAGTAATTAAGTATTATTCTTGTATTTTTTTTAAGTTTATGAAGAATTTAAAATCTATGATTATTTAATCTGCTTAAACCCCTGTAATTTTCATTAAGAAGCAGACGCTCACTGCGCTCCTGGCCACAAGATGGCAGCACGGAATAGATACAAAATAGCAGTTCAAGAGTTTCAACTTACTCAACCTACAACAAAACTAACAAAACCCACACCTTTTTGCCCATGAAATAGGAAAAGTAACAAAGGTTGAACTCTCCCAAACAAAATTTATTAGTTAGCCATTAAGTGTTTTGTTAAACTCCCAGATTTATTCTATCCTTCCCCAGGATTCCTTGGAAAAAATTTGCAAATGTAATTTCTTCCCCATCTATTTTTAAAAAGGGGCCACAATTTACTTTCATGTCATTGTAGCTAAGAAAGTAAATTATCTGTCTGAACGAATCTAGTTAGTTTTCTTTCCTTTTTTTTTTCCAAAAAAATTGCTGAAAAAATATTCTGCAACATTATTGACAAGCAAAATTGTGCATTTAGAATTTGTATTTAGAGATCAATGAGCTGCCAAGACTTTATGATGCAGTAACTGAGCCTAAATGATTCTACTTACAGGAATTTTCAGATATTAAGCACCTTTATATATAAAGTATCAAAAGAGTAAAAGATTTTGGAGCTTTTGTGTGTTTAGTTACAACATTGTAAATCCTTTCTGCTCAGTAAGTGCATCCAATGCCAATGGCTCAGGTACTTGCTATGGGCTGGGTGAATAAAATATAACAATTTCCCAACAATCAAGCAACCTGCCATATAAGAGGTTTCTGTTCATTTTTTTTAATCTAAGCATTTGGGGAAATAATGCAGAAAGCTTCTAAGGAAGCTGTTAGGTGGCTTTATTTTCTGAATTGTTAAAAATGAAGGAGTCCTGGCTGAGACATCATCTGAATGGGTTTGAGTTAATTACTGGGATTTTGCTTTCAGGTTTAATTTGAATATGAAACTACCTCTGAAGTCTACTCTAGTAAATAAGTTGGTTTGTAGTTTTCATGCTTTAGCTTATATGCACAAAATCCCAAAGCTAGTACAAGTTAGGGAAGCGTGGTGGCAGAGCTGAGGACATGGAACTGTTCAAACATCATCACTTACCCCTGCTGGTGGAAATGAGCGAGAGAGAGAGGGAGAGAGCCATGAGAGGGTCCTGCACACAAGGGAAGGGAAGCTGCAGTTCCAAGGAAGTTCTGTCACATCTACCAGGCCATGAGCCAGGAATATATTTGCTTATAGTACCAGCAGTGAACCAAGCAATTTTATTCTAAATGTCTCCCCTTCCCTTTTGATTCAGAAATTATGCAATCATTTTCAGTAAATGGTTCAAGTCCCTTTTTAGCAGTGCCTTTTTATAAAAGGCTCATAGATCATGTGCACCACTGTACAATCATTTTTAAGAATCACAGTGAAATAATCCTTTCATAGAGATGCAGCAACACAGTGCAAAGACATTGCTCAATACCTCAAGTCCTGTGTCCAATTCTGGGCCTGCCATTTCAAGAAAGACATTGAGGTGCTGGAGCTGTCTGGAGAAGGGGAATGAAGCTGGTGAAGTGTACAGAAAATAAGATATATGAGGATGCAGCCACGGTGTTTAGCCTTGAGGAGTCTCAGGGGAGACCTTATTTCTCTCTACAACTCCTTGCCAGGAGGTTGTAGCCAG